AAAACCAAACCCCAGTTCACTCCTTCCTCTGCCCAGCCATGACTTCCTAGTTTCCAACCAGTAGTGAAGCTGACAGGCGTGGTTTGCGGCGCCCAGTCCCAACTGGCCGGTTCGGTGGGTTTCCCTGCGGGCGTGGCTGTTGCCAGCATTGTGCCGCAGCCGAACCAACTTGAGGATTTTCTTGATGGGTGTGGTTTATGCAGAATGTAGTGGCTTGTAGTGGATGTTGTTTTGGTGGTTAAAGAAATCCTATGTCAGCCCTACTTTTTTTTTTTTACCGTGCCTCTCTCGTCCACAGAATCTCAGCATGAACTGTGGATTTCGCGAAGTTGGGATTCCTGAACCATTCGACCTGAGTTGTCCAGGTTCCCACAAGTCCAGACTTCAGACCGTCTCGTCTATTTTGCTTTGGGGGGTGTGATTGTTTTGTTGCTTCTTGATTTCTCCTTTTGGCTTCTGAGCTGGCTGGCTGCTTGGACTTTCGTGGTTCGACTCGCATTTCTTGCAAATGCTATGGCGTTGCAACAGTTTTGCAATCCTGCTACTGAAGCATTTTGGCTGTTTGCTGCAACTTACAAGCCTCAGCATGCCTTAGCAAAGAGATGCAAAGAGTCTCAAACACTGAAAGTTCTCGCGGCTGGTGCCTACACTTCGTTTTGCATCCGATCTCAACGTCCACAGCCATGCATTCACGCTCGAATGCGAAAGCCACTCTCAACGATGCTCAGGCAAGCAAGGGTCAAGGAAGTTGAAACAAGCAGAATATCGCGGGACTCCTCCAGAAATACTCGCTGCGACCCACCAGGTCCAGGAGACCGGCCCGGACTGGTTGATCTAACAACCCACACCGAGGGCCAGGAAAAGGGAAGTTCTGCGCAAGAAAGTTTCCGCGTGATGAAACAATCGAGACCTGCAGAATGCGGGGGGGGGGGGGGGTTCTGAAAGGGACGGGAGGGCTTTTTCCAAGCTGCTCTTGCTACAGTAGCATTTACTCGAGGTCAAACGGCCTGTTTATAGAAGTGAAAGCCACAAGTACCTTGATGGAACTCATGAAGTCTGCGAGAGCTTGCGGGCGACACTTCCAGATCATTGCAACGGCATTTGTTTTGTAATTGGTTCCGCCAGCTGGCTTTCTCACTTGTGATGGGATTTCGTCATGTGCTTTGTCCTCTTTTCAACACTACATACAGACAAGAATCATGCAATCGTGCCCAAGACATGTCCATGTTTCAATCATGTCGAAGAGTTTTCATGCCCAAAGCTCTAAAACATCTACAGCCCCAAGCCCTCCAAACTCGGTTCGCTCAGGCGCCCCAAAACCAAAAAACCCTGAATCTTCAGCCCCTATGCCACCCCTGATGCTCTTGAAAACCTGCAGTGCTCACCACAGAAGCAAGTGAAAGCTGAGGTCTGCTCGGTTGCCAAACTGATGGCCTGCTGCCTCCAGTATGCGATGGGCTATGCAGCCGGCCAGTCTGTGAAGGTTCAGCAGTCGCTCACCTGCCAGCTGTGGGTTTAGGGTAACAAAGGGTCAAACGGTTCATGTAGGGCTTGGGTGTTTAGGCTAACAGTGGTGCTAGAGACATTGGAATCCCAAATGTGTGTGTGATGTGGGCACCCGGTTTATCTACAATCCGAGAAAGCCCATTGTGTCTCTGACTGTCAAGGTTTGTGGGTGTGGACAAAGTCCCTACACGCGCGATGGAGCAAATCTTGAAGCAGAATGGCCTCAAAGTTGACAAGGTGGCCATCCTTGTCGCGGGACCAGACTGGCCCACAAGTGCGCCTCAGATGTCGCACGTGTGTTGAAGGGCTTTGGGGAAGCCTGCGATCTTTAGGCCTTTAATCAAGCAGGCCTGCTGTGGGTCTAGACCCCTTAACCTCCGAAGTAAACTCTGAACCCTAAGATCCCTGTAGGCCTATGACGCTAAAAATTACCCCCAAATAGCATTGAACTCCGAGTCCGAGCCATGGCCGAGGTGCTCTGTGGCATCCTCCGACTGAGAATCCCACAGATGCTGCAGCTGGGCAGCGAGGGGCCGGGGGGGGGTTCTTAACATTCTCAAGCCTCAAACTCGTGAAGGCTTCGAGATTCAAGACAGGGTCTGAGATTCATGGGAAAAGCTGAGGCTGTAGGGAACCTGCATACCCCATCGATGGCCCATCACATCCATTGTTCTTGGGTTTTCATCTGTAAGCAGAGCTTTTGTTTAGGAGTTCCTCTCGCCCTCTTTAGTTCTAGTTGCCCTCACCTCGAACCCACAATGCACTCAACTCAACCATCCCCGAACGCCCTACGAAGCCGAAACGCGAAGCTCAAAAGTCTTAAGCCCTCTACGACCGAGTCTCGGTACGACTCCGGTCATCTTGGTGAGCATCATCCCGCAGTGTTTGGTGGGAGCCCTCTTGACCTACGCAGGCCATCGGTTTAGGGTTCAGGGCTTCGGGCTCAGGCACGTGATCATGGCATGAAACTCACGCAGTGTCTGAGAGGGATCCCGATGGAATTTCCCCCGAAGTTTTGCAGTCCTGGAGGCCCTAAAGGCCCTTCTACCCGAGCCGCAGTCTTGCAGGCGATACTTCGGGCATCATGTCCATGATCTCCAGCACCGTAACTCTCTTGGCCGCGGCCGTGCAAGCTTTCGCGATGTTCTTCTTCAGCTACCGGATCATGAAGGTTCCAGGGAACATAGGGAACATGTGTTCAGCTGAGGTCGCTTTGAATAGGAAACTCTAAACTCTTGGCGCATCTGGATGTGCGTCATCCTTGCGCAAATGAAAAATGATCCCTGAAGGTACCGACTGCAACCCAAAATCAAAGCAACACAACCAGAAACTGAAACTCAACTGTCAATTCTGAGAGCTGAGTTGCTTGGCGAACTCCGGCTGCAAGACCCCAAACATCCCCAAACCTAAGTACAGTTGAAGCCCCATCGGTGCTTATAGAAGTAGAAGTCTTTCAAAACTTTAGGTTTCTACAACAATGATCTGCGCAGTCCACCTTGGAGGTAGTCGAGGAGGATGGAGAAGAACTTGCAAAGGAGCGGGAAGAACACAAGGCTGTGGCTGAGCTCACCAAGAAAGAAGCAGCCTACGTGGCGACCCTCAAGGCCTTCTTGAGGGTTCTGGGCTGAGCCAACTCACATGCATAGAAGCTGCTTCTTGCAGGAACTGTACTGTAGAGTTTCAAGGCGGATTTCTTATAGAAAGCTTTTTCTCTGCTGAGTGAGGCTCCCAAGCACCACATGTATCTACTGAAGTGCCAGGGCCTTCAAATCCAAGAAGACAGCGCTCCCCACAGGATGAAAAACCTTTTGCGTTGTGAGGAGACTTGCGACTGGAGCCAGATGGCTTGCGCACAGAAGTTCTTGGTGATGTTCTCCTCCTTCTGCCTGCTCCTGTCGGGCTTCGTCCTGGCTGCCGACTACTCGTTGGGAGACCAGTTCTGTTTCAGAAGCTTCAAAATCACAAGCAAGATTGGGGACCCCATTGTTTCAGGCGGTTTGGGTGGCAATGCCCTGAACCTCGTGGTCGTGCCAGCAGGCGCGGCCACATTGGGCCTGTCCTTCCTTGGCTTCCTCGTCCACATCATCGTGAGCAAGTGGTTGGCATGTGCGGCCCGAAGCAGGTTGCGGCAACAATCGCAACTTGGGCCTACACAGCCTGAAAACACTAAGATTGGTAACGCGACCTACGATGCCTTTGACCGGACTGCGTAGCCGGATTCTGATGCACGCCGTAGCAGTACATAACGAAGCTCTGACAACACGTCTCAAAGCCTCCCTGTGAATCAGTGAGCCGGTCTCTTCAAGCCGTCATCGAACATCAAGTATTTGATCTGGCCCCTGCCTTTGCCAGCCGCCAGTGGTTGAATCACGGAGAGGCCTCTAATGCCCTGCTACTACGTAGTGATTTCATTGCCTTCCCATGCCGCACAAATTGGGAGCCCAGCAACTGTAGTGCATGGAGCGTCAGGGGTGAGGCTTGAATTCAACAGGATGCTCGTACATGAGACCCACAAACTGAAACGGAAACAACGTGTGTAGACCTGATTCGGAAGTCGAGCAACAAAAGGCTTTAGGTTTCGGGGCTGTCGCGGAGTTTTGAGTTTGGGGGGAGAGGGGGGGGTACTAGGCAAGTCCAGGGTGCTCCTCTCAACATGTGAGTTCAACTTGTTTAACTTTGTGTTTTTTGGACTTCATTCCGGGCTTTAACCTGGGGGAGGGCTGAGAGTCGTGAGTTTTTTCTCGGCGACATTCCAGCATGTTTTGTGACCCTCTATCAGACCCTAGCTTTCATGTCGCAATTTCTGTCGTGCGTTTGTTGTTCTTGAGAGAGGAAGTCGAGCCCGGTAAGGCCCTCGCTAGGAACAGTTCCCAGAAGACCGCACTAGTTGTGTGGCTAAGCGCCATCAGGCCGCAATGTCAGAGCCCTTTAGACCACAAAAACCAGATTGATGCGATCCTCAGCTCATAGTTTCGGGAGCATCCAAACACAAGCCCACCACCTGAAGCTCGCTATTTTAACTGCCGATGCCACCTCAGCTGTAGAATCCGTAGACTCCGTAGACCTTGGAGCATGGTGATTGAGTAAGCTGGGTTGCCTTGGAGCCAAGACATCGGACATCAGTTTTTCAGTTCTGGGTTTGGCCTTGTTCGCGTCCCGGAGCTGAGTTGGCGAAATTTGCCTGGTGCACAAGCCAGTTTGTCTCACACCCTTGATGTTTTTAATCGTGCTTGAGAGCGGTATTCACCGAAAACCTGCACCATTGGCTTTGAGAGCTTCATTAAGAGAGTGCAGTCGAAGGATAGCCATCCAACAAAGCATCTATCCTCGAGTCTGATGAGAAGCACACAGAGAGGAGTTTCCGTCCGCTGTCGTATACCTGCAGGGGCGCATAGTCCTCAAGCTTGAAGCCCTGAGTCAATAACCGAGTTGTTGAAGGAAACTTCCGACCCACCCTAAACCCCAAACCCTGCCCTAAACGCATACCGCCGCAGACCTGCGCCACACAGCTTGCGGACTTGGTGGAGCTGGTGCGGGGTGAGCTCTCCAAGCTGGAGCGGAAGACCCTCACGGTCTTCCGACTCAGCTCAGGTCTTAGGGTTTTTGGGGTTTATCAAGGCATAAAGCAAGTCCAATACTATTGCCTAGAAACTCTGGCGACAGACCTGGATGCACAGGTTTGAAAATTACTTTTTCAGCTCAGGATTGGAGAAGGCACGAGGTTTGCATTCTCGGCATGTTGGTCTACATTATTTTTGCCTCGGTTCACCTCAACATATCCACTGGTCAGAAATTCTTGCAACTCCCTATCGTGCACCATCTTATGGCGGGCAGCCAGCTTTCGGAAGTTGTACCAATGGATGGTACGGGTACAAATGGCGTGTCTCATTGGGGTTGTTTGAGGAAATTGGGGTGCCCAAGAACTGCCCCCTAAAGTGACAATAAAACATCCAGATTCGAGGCAATAGATTTCATGTTTGGGGTTTTCAGGAAATTCAAGCGCGGCTCCAACACTACTCTAAAACCAGATGCGCGGTTGGGACGGGGACTGGATCCGGGAAGTGCTGGGGAGTGTTGAAAAGCTGTGAATAGGATTGGCTCCTTAGTTGCAGTTTCTTGCAGAGGACCAGTAAGGAGGCAGATCTGTCGTATGCATGCCAGTGAGGGTGTAGACGTTGGGTTTATAGGGTCTTCGATCAAGCAGAAGAGGCGATGGTGACGATTGATGTCCACAATCGCGACGTGGTGGGCAGTTTGCGGGACGCCAGAGTCTCTTCGCCGAAGGCCAGTGAACTTGTCGGCGCATTCTTTGTGGCATGCTTGAAGCATGTGTGTGGCTCCACGCACAAGCAGGAGCCACAAGTCCGTGCCTTTCAGCGCATGCATGTGCGCGGCTGCCTTTTGGCAGCGTCATGTCGTCTGCATCTGGGACAACAGTGTTTTGATTTTGATGGCCGCAAATCAGAGTACCTCAGCATCACATTTCAGGGCGCATGGCGCTTCTCTAGAGCTCCATCTGAGTTACTGAGACAAGCGAGAGGAAGAGGATAATCCCGAGAACCGGTAGGTCTACTAACCAGCCTACTGCATCCCCACCCCAAGGTGCCTTCCCACACGTTTCTGCCGGATACACTCAGATTGCAGGACTTTGACTGGATGGCCCAGCTGCGCTACTATTGGGCATCTGCCCGAGAATTGCAACCAGATGTCAGTTCTGGCAAGAGTCACGGCATCAAGCTGTCCATGCTTTCTGGGTGCTGCCAAAATCACGGCAATCTCGCCCAAGGCTCCCACCGGCTCCATCATTATGTACGAGACGCAGAAGCCTGACCCCTTGATGAGCTGAGCATGAGGTTTCAGAGTGGTTTGAGGCATGTCGCCGTGCGGGCTCGTGTTGGTTTGGCCCTGGCGCTTCGCAGTTTGGTAATGCATATTCGTTTGACACAAGCTTCTCGAACCCCAAAGGGTCATGTCTCAGAATTCTGGTCCCTTCTTGGGTTTCTGTGATGATACATCCCCATGTGCTCGGAGGTTCCCAAGTGGACCCCAACTTAGAGAGAAATGACCGCACCAAGGTGCCAAGGCCACCACAGAGGAAACCCAAATCTTGCTAAGGCCAAGCACGACGGACAACTGCCAGGTTTCCATCATCAACGTCATGCTCTCAAGTTGTTGGGATCTGTGGATGGGGACTGACTATCGTGCAGGCGCATTTACGGTAGAGTGTTTGAGGTTGATTGGTTAGATTTGCGATTTGAGCGAAGCTACAAGCCACCAACGTTTCCATCCGTATTGGTGCAGCAGGCACGTTGAGCTGGGCCACAGGGTGGACGGACGGCAAACGGAGAAAACAGTAACCGATCGTGCAAGCCATTTAACCCTATCTTGGTAGCAGCTCATTCTGAAGAGTTACGGCAAGCTGTGCGAGAAGAAGCTTCAATGATCTCTGCTAACCTTCGCGACGAATAATGGCATCTTTCCTTCTTGCATCCCCAAATCCTAGAGAGGCTGATGATGCTCGAGGCTTTTCCATACGCTCTTGACCAAGGGAGTTCCGCTGCTGCTCAGGGTTTGGGGTTGAATTAGTGTGTATTGAGGCTACCCTTCTGTACGGCTTCGAGTACTTGGGCAACAGCGACCGGCTGGTCGTCACGCCGCTGACAGACAGGCCGAGAAGGGTTCTGCCAGTTTTTTCCGATTCCAAAACTGCAAGCCTACACAGCCGCACAGCCTGAGCCCCAACCTGAATGACAGGTGTTACCGCACCCTGATGGGTGCCTTCCACCTTTTCTATGGGGGTGCTCCAGAAGGGCCTGCAGGCTTGGACCTTGCTGGGCATCCAAAAAAATGTCGTTGGCCCCGGTTGGAAAGGATGCGGTCTTTGGGATTTCTCGTCGGCACCTTGAGGGTCCAAGCTGTCCAAGCTTTTGTGACTCCGGGTGCTGTCGCAGTGGGAGGGATCGAACGGCACTGCTGATTCGGCATCGTTGGCCAGGCACCGGCAAGACTGAGTCCACGAAGGACTGGCGAGGGGGCTCGATTGATCCCTCTCTAGTCCACCTCCACGATGCTACGACCCGTTGTATAAGGCAAGATGTTTGTTCAAAGCGGGTTCGTACTTGTTACGATGGAACTGCTTGAGGCTTCATGTGAAGAGTGCTTTCTTGATGTCTCTGCCAAGCAGATCCACATGCAGCCATGCGGCTCGCTCGCCCAAGTGTAGGAGTTTGGAAACTTTCGTGGACTGTCCAGCACCTCTTGAGTAAACAGCTTTGAAGGAGGCGCAATCGATTTCAAGCCCTATGCCCATAAACCCTCCGTTCCTCCGTTAACGGTCTGCAGGACTTGGCCAAGGCAATGTCGGTTCAGTGCGCTGCGCGGCAGCAGCCAGCCGGGTTGTGGTCTTTATAGGGTTTGTAGGACTTCGTGTCTAGGGTGCTTCACCGGCTGATGGCAAGGGTTGGAGCTAGAGCTCCTCCAGGGTAGCTGGAGATCGGGAAGGTCATGCGTGGGAGCTGCCGGAGGCAAGCCCCGTGCAGTAGCGCATGAGGCCCTAGAGACCTGTGCGTACCAGAGGCTTCCAGCCCTCAAAGTGATCTCAGATATAGTTCGATTTAAAAATCTCGGAGGTTTCGCCATACTTCAGCACTTCAAGCATACAAGGTTGTCTTCAACTGCTCGGATGGCCTGGACTACCTGGCCATGGGCAAGTTCTTCAAGGGTCGCGCCTCGGGGTTGAGGGTAGCGGGGTAGCATTTACCTGGGAATGACTGAAGATGAATGACTAATTTACATTGAAGTAGCAGTTAAGTCGAATTTGGCATCAGGCTATAGTTTGAGATCAAAGAAAGGTGCAGGTAGTTTAGCCCACGGCGTCCCAATCACGAATGGCAGCCTGGGTACGACCCATACCTATAGTCTGCGAGGCCGTGACTGGATTTCTAGATATGGCAGGGGGGGGGGGGGGGGGGGCGCTGCGTCAGTTACCGATGGTTTCGTGGAAACATTTTTTGGGGCCGGAATTGTTACCAGGAGAACCCCCCTACCCCCAGGCTTTGTAACATTTCAGCTTGTGTGTCTGTCCACACAAAGGCCTACACATACATCCTTTAGTTCTCTGTCTCTTTCATGTCTTTATATTACACGGAACGAAGGGCAGGTTTGCATGTTTTTCCCAGATGCCCGGCGAGAAACCCGTAAATGTTACCTGTAACTTTTCGGGGTCCCCCCATTAAGGCAAGGGCCATTCTAGATCAAAGCTCCAAAGCCAACTCAAGCCCCGTAGAGTATCCTACAGTACGAGAACGATGAGCCCTGTCATACGCCCTGTGACAGACCTTGACACGGGGGGGCGGGGGGGTGTTGCGAAGAAATCACATACCCCCCCCACACACACACACAGAGACAAACGGAGGCAGAGCCAGGTGGGCAAGCGCTGGCCAGAAGTAATCTTCCCCACCAGACCAGCCTATGGGGAGCCTCGGGAGGTTTGGGGGCCTTTTTTAGCCAGGTTTGGCATCGTCGGGGGCATGGTGTTGCTTCGACGAGCTGGGGCCCTAGGGTGTTCACTTCCTTGGCAGCTTCCGAGTTTTCCGAGCATGTGGTGATCTTTTCCACAGAGGCTGGATGACCACTCTTCTCTGTGAGCTGAATGATACGGTTCAAAAAATGGGCTTGAGGGTATGCGGGGCGGTCGGCGGCCTGTAAAGAGATTATGTTTCGCTGACAAGGGGGATTGACTGGTGGGGGAATGCGTGTCACAGAGCCCTATCTTGTTGATATGGGCTCCTGAGCTGACGCTTTGTGTCTTAATTGCAGGGTTCATAGCTTCGTAGCCTGTGTATCTGTGGGGCATGGAGCAGTCAAACTGAGTAGCCAGCGCCTGTGAGGTTTAACCGCATCGACTTGGAGGTCCTGTCTGTCATTGCCCAGCAGGCCGCCTCAGGATGCCTTAAAACTTAAGTTTAAGGTTTGAAAACCTCGGCTTGCCTCGGATGTGAGAGAGACAGACACCTCAAATCCCAACAACCAATATCGCCGGGCACATGTGTGTGTGTGTGTGTGAGTGAGTGTGAGTGTGAGTGTGAGTGTGAGTGTGTTGGCCTCGATTTCTTCAAACTCCGCTAAGGCTGAGCCCCGCCGAAGGCGAGACGAAGCCTCATAATGCGCCTCAAAATATGTTGGTTACGACGGAGCAGCGCAAGCATGCGCTCAAACGCTTCCTTTGTTCTTGGCGCCTTGACATGCTGCGCTTTGCGCGTCTTGATATGTCTTGATGCCGGCCCCTTGAGACGAAGAGAGAGGGGGGAGATGGAGAGATGTGACAGCGACAGAAACACAGGGCAGACAGGCACGACCTGATGACGATGTGGAGTGTAGCATGGCGCTTCACAATGATGATGTTCCCAGCGCGGAAGCTGTATACCGACTTCTGAGCGGGGGCCGCGGCTTGAAGGTTCCGATGGTGTTCATCTCATTGCATCTCTGCCGGCAGAATCAGCCGGAAGCTCATAGCGCCCAGAATCGTGGAAACGCCGTCCCGTGAAACCAACTGACGCAAGTGATCTGTATGAATGCAGCTATTGGTTTGGCCGTCTCTGCCGTGCCGTCTCTGGCATGCCGTCTTGCGTTCCCTTCGACGTCTTGCCAGAAGTTGGGGGGACTCGACCCAGCTCAGTTCCCAGTCCCTTTTACATTCTGGATTATGGACGGATGACGGACTAGCGGTGGAGAGGGGGGGGGCAAGCGTGTAGAGAGAGAGAGAGATAGAGAGAGAGAGAGAGAGAGAGAGAGAGAGACAAAAAAAGAAACAACAACAAGCAAGGGGCGAAGTGATTACGCGTGCTGAAGGAAGGAAGGATGGACTGAAGGAATAGAGAGAGAGGAGGACGTGAGTAACATTGATTGTACGGAGGTCCTTCGACAAAGGTAATTGGGTCAACCCAGAATGTCTCGGCGGCAGCCCATCTCTCACCTCAGCAGGTGGCTTGCATCCAGGAGGCGATCCGCATGAAGAAGGTGCCATTTCGGCCATTCCCCTTGATGCTGTGCGGGCTTGGACGTTTTGGGGAGAAGAATTAAGCTGACAGTCGACTCGGTTTGAAGCCTTGACATTGCGAATCAATCTTGTGTCTATCTCTTCTGTTGCACGTTGTCCCATCAGCAACGTCCTCAGTACTTGCATCGCGTATGGCCTGGCGGAGTTTGCCACGTAAATTAAAAAGAGTTGCAACAGCTGCACTTATGTTGCCTATAAAGCCGTCAAATCGTGCGCCGACATGGCGTATGCCGAAGATTGTAGAATGAACCGCAATGACTACGCCATGACTCGAGTTCTTCACTCCCTCAGGGCAGGATTTTGTGGGATAAGGGTGAGCAGTCGAGACTCCACAGCTTCCTGACGAGTGCTGTTGTACTGTTGCACACTTATCGTCACCGCATGAGAAGTTGGAAGCGCTTTCAGGTGCTTAGACCCTAGTTAGGCCCCGCAAGGGTGGGTAGCTGGAGAATCCCAGGAGTATGCCACACACGTGTGCGCGTCGCGTGCTGGGAAGATTTAGCTGATTATGCTCGTACTGCATGTCCGGCTAAAGCTTCTACATGAAGACTTTCAAACAGATGGTCGTGAAAGTGGATTTGTGCTGGCCTCTGTCTGAGGCTTTCGGGCCAAAGTCCTGAAAGTGCATGAACGGACCATGCTTATCACTTGCCAGCGCTGATCTTTTTCCCGGCTTGGAGTGCGGCACGTATATGCACACATGTATATATAGATTCATATGTATATATATATATATGTATAGGGTACCTCTTCTTCCGATGCCGACGCTCCAAGATCTCTAGTGACGCGAAAAGCCCGCTCCTCGCCTCAAACCCTCCCGAAGGAGAGTTGCAGACCCCGCTTTAAAGTTACATGGCACCCCTTAGCCCCGAAGTCTCGCTTCCCTTTCATTGAAGTTCTACGCAAAGCTGCTCCTCTCAGCGCCGCTTCATCTTTGAAGAGACCGAGCTGGAGTTGATCCCAACATGCGCCGTGAACATCACCATGCCAGGGCCTATGGGGCTTTCGGGCTGTTGGGGGGGGGGGGGGGCAGCGGCGGAAAAGGCACATGGGGCACAGAGGTTGGTGTGCTCTCTCGGATTGCAGCGCAGGGCTTCGTTGTAAGGTGTTGCGGGAGTTGGGCCTGAGGGCTGAGGGATGTTGAGGGGCAAGTGCACATGGGTTTGGCTCAGAAGTGCACATGGCGCCTGAAACCTCTATAATGGAGAACCCCTGGTGACCCATTTGTTGGGCGGAAACTCAACCTCACAAAGAGATGCTGCGTAGCGTTCTGTAGGAGATCAGGAAGGATCCTTCATGCATTTAAACTGCAGCAGCCGTGTCTCATGAGACTGATTTTCAGGCCACCTTCTGGCCCCGAGAACCATCCCCCCCCCGCCCCCAGCGACTCTAACACCCCAGAGTCGAGTCAGCGAAGCCCCTCGTCGCATGTTTGCAAGGAATCCTGGCTACGCGGGGCGTTCTGAATTGCCGGACAACTTGAAGGCCAGGAGGGCCGTCCCCTCACCCTACCAAACATGAACCACGCACCACCCGCCCTTATCAATAATTATACTGCCACGTATGACCTGCACGAGCTTGAGTGCAAATATACCTTCGTCAAATGACTGACATGTCCCAACCTTGGCCCACAATGGAATGCCTTGGGGGGCTGGAGCTCATTCGACACCCGAAGGGTTGTAAGTCGGATTTTGTTTTGCACTGTTTATAGTGTTAGGAGTGGAGGATATCAGTGGCAGCTGAAGGCGAATATCATGGATCTCGATCTGCGTGCGGTCAGATCATGACGTCTTGTGGTTGTTGACCTGCCTATGCTTCTGCCTTCTCACAGGGCCGTTCTGGCTCCCACTATCCGCTATGATACCTGTAGCATGGGTACTGCTCTTCCCTACCGTCGCCGCATCGGCACTGCTGCTCTCGCCATCTGCTTTGGGAGCATCCGAATTAGACTGTTCGGATGACTTGGATGATCTCGCATGGGGCAGCTCGGCTGAACTGCCAAGTCCAAAAATGTCATAGGTGCATCTCCGCGGAAACCCGACATCCGAAGATTCTTGCGGCAAGTAAGACACCGAAGCCGTGTGGTATTTCGTTGTCTCTCACGCTCTCTCACACTTTTTCACACTCCTACACTCTCTCACGCTCAGTTCACCCTCTCACACTTTCTTTCTCTCACACAGAGACAGACACACAAACACAAAGACACACAGACTCCTACACTCACTCGCTCACCCACCCACTCACTCACTCACACTCCTGCACACGCACGCACTCTCTTACGCTTTGTTCATTTTGGGGCAGACTTATGCATGCAGTTGTTTAGAGAGCCTTCTTTGGCCCGGGTCACGGTTGAGCGCAACAGGAAAGTAGTCCTTGTGCACGAACACCGGAATGCCGATCGCCGCCCCGGCTTCAAGTGACCAGAAGCTGCCAAAGCAAGCACTAGACCTTAGATCGTCTGGTGCCAATTGTTTACCAAGGAGTCTTCATTGATGGGAAGAATGCCTCTGAAGGTCCGGAGGCCTATGGCAAAGACTCTCAGATCAGTTGGCAGCACTTGAATGGGAAGAAGTGAAGGTGAAGGCCTCAAGGGTCGAGCCCCCACATGCTTCGCGAAGGGTCGACGACCCATTTGGGGTCGATAGGGTTCAGCAAAGTTTCAATATAAGGTAGTTGTTTGTATCTGGCAAGAAAACGATGAATTGAACACCGATGTTGTCGATATATGTATATGTATATGTATATGTATATGTATATGTATATGTATATGTATATGTATATGTATATGTATATGTATATGTATATGTATATGTATATGTATATATAGTTACAATATATACTATATATCAAGTCTTAAGGTAAGAGCAAGAAGGCCTTTGCTACGTGTCAGCTGATCTTGATAGGACTTGCCCAGCAGACCTGTGGAGTTTCCTAGACTTTCCCCTTTTAAGGCAAGTTCTGTGAATATTCATATTGTTGTGTTTAACGTGCCTGGCAAATTCTATCAAAACACCCAGGCGAATTCTAAGGCTCTGCAAGTGTGTCACGTTCGAACCTGCTGCGAACGAAGCCCCGTGAACCCCCAACAAGTTCGACGAAGGTTTGGCGAGCCCTTGAGGTTCGAAACCTTTGGGCTGCCCGGTTTTGCCCCACCTCGATCGTTCTTTGCCCTAAAGGTGCCTGAACGTGGGGCCCCGAACCAAACACCGCGATCTGAACACTACATCCGTGTTAGATGTCCCTTAGCTAAACAGACCTCTGTAGCCAAGGAATACTCGAAGTCCATGAGGAATGCTTTGAAGGTGGGCGAGTGCATGATTGCACGGAGTAGCATGGCACAGTGCGCACAATGAAGCGCACCATCAAGCATTATTCATCAAGGCAACACGAGGGGTTGCGTCTTGAACTTTCGGAATAAAAAGTATCCCTTCAATCTGCTACAGCAGGGTCCACCGGCTGAGATTCTACGGGTTCCGAAGAAGTGAGACTCCTGTGCTCTCTTCTCCACCCCGAACCCTCGAAAGCGGAGCCATGAAGGATCCTTGCGTCAGGCCGTCTACGGTCTGGCAAGGAAGCATCGGCATGAGCCGGTAGACTTCGGACACTTCCAGGTCATCCGAAGCCTGCTGAATATGCACTTTGGCTGACCCTTAGAAATATCCGAAAGCCACAGCAGGCGGCAACAAGCGAGGCCCCCAACAGCCCATCCTCAATTGCGATTGTGACTTCTCAAAGTTGTTGGATCCCAAAATACGCTTTCCAAGTGACAAGGTGAAATCTTTTCCCTGAACAGCTGGATGCCAGCTTCCAATGTGCAGAGTAAGAGGGTTTAGATCGACGTACCCACTGGTGCACCCGCGCGGCACGCCCGCTGCGGACTATGGGATTTCCTCTCGCATTTTGGACGCAGATCGCGCTCTCCCAGGCGCAGGCGTGGCCACAGACGCCATCCGCGACAGGTTTTTGGATGTCTGATCTCGCGAGATGCGAAACTGGCATTGCTTTGGTTCCTGATCTCATCCCGCTTCCGCGTGTCGGTGCAAGTCGCAGCCGACCGACTCTGGCCCTGCCCAGTTGTGACTTCCTGACTCATCTCGTCGTGGTACTCTTCTTGATTTCGTGTGTGGAGAGCTGCTGTGGTTCTGGAATGCTCCCATTGATGTCGAGCCCTTAAAGTGTTCTGGCTGCGCTCTTGGGGCGCTTTGGGACGTCCCTTTGGGGGCTGTTACTGGAATTTCCGAATTTGGCTGAGCTCTTGGACCTGGGAGTGCTCAATTCGTTGCCGTGGGCTGGCCCGCGCTGGCTTATAATGCAGTGGCGGTGATGTCTTCTGCAGCAGAGATGGGCCCCTATCCAGACGGGCCACTGGCTCACGTTGTTCCATGCAATACTTGCGCTGCCGCGTCAGGTCTGCTCCAGCGTAGCTTCTACTTGTAACGCTACGCGACCGGCCGGGGCTCGTTGCCAAGGCAGGGGCCAAAACGGTCGCCAATTCCATGAAAGGCTGAAAGGCTAGCTCTCTGGTGGGTGTAGGGGACGAGGGGTAGCTGAAGGTGTGCGAGCGAGGGTTGGGGGGGGGGGGGGGGAAAGGACACGAGGGGGTTAGTCGGGAATTTCAGGGGAAAAGTCAATGCCGAATTTGGTGTCTGTCCGGGTTGGAGATGTGTTGTTCGTTCCGCGGTGTGCATGTAGGCTGCAAGCGACTGCAAGCGTGTGAGGCTTTGGGCAGATCAGCGTTTTGCGCACCGCTCTGCGACTACATACTGAACCAATGATTTTTGAAAACTGCTTCTCTTCATCTCCGATGCCCACAAGAACGAAGTCCTATATGCCCTGGATCCAGATCAATAGCAGGTAGGTGGTAGGCGGTTCAAACCTCTAAATACTTTATTCTCTCTACCATCACATCCACGGGACTGCGTTTTCAAGATAGCAATTTTCGATTCCGGTGATGCCAAGTAGCCTCTGATGAAAGCCTTTTGGCTTCTATGTCAAGCCCGAGAGCATCTGATCCGTTCGCCCTTGCCGAGGGAATATCTCGACGACTACGCCGGACTTTTCGACATGAGCAAGGGAGTCGCCGTGAACTTCCGACAGGCGCCCCGGGTGTCGGGATGAGAGCGCTTCGAACTTAGGCAAAGATGGAGAATGATGGAGACTGGGGTTCAGGATTTGAACTTCGTTAGGTAAAGAGCAATCAGGTGGCGTGGCCTACTGGCCGAGCCCGAGAAGCCCAGAGCCTTGAAAAAAACTCTAAAGGCCCCTAAAAGCCCCTGAACGCCAAGGCATACGACTGCCTGAAGTCTTCCGTGCCCACCGACTTCCTCGTGAGCATTTTCCGCACGGACGCTTGGGTTCAGAGTCGAGGGGAGTTTTGTGGCGTTTTGATGGCAGCGTGATCTCTCACTGTCCTGCTCCGAATGCATCAGGTAAGCCAAGTGCTCGGCTGCACTTGCTAAAAACGAGCACCCTGTTCTCAATAGCAACTCCCTGAGCTCCTTGAGGATATGGAGGACCTGTATGACGCCAGCTGCATTCCAAACGGGCGTCCTTGTCGAGCTGCACACCTGCCGGTCAAGCCCACTCTCATGCAACTTGTCTCAAGAAACGCCTCGGACGACTTGGGAGCCCAAAACTTCAAGTGAGAGTCGAAATCTTTCAGCCTAAAGCAGAGAGAATCCAATTCTTTGAAGGTAAGAGTACAGCCTCAGACAGAGTCGCAGTTCGACGGAGCAATTCATTAGTCTCCGTCCATGGACATTCGTCCATGCCACGCACGACGTTCGATACTCTGAGCTTCGCCACCGGGTATACCCTAAACCCTATAAACCCTTGAACCCCAACATGTCACAGCTTCAGGAAGCTCTTTCAAAGCTACCGCGACGCTCAAGAGAAAGCCTCCACCACAACGGACCGCTTGAGAGCACTTGCCTCGCTCATGAGCTCCAGCTACGAAGGAAGGTTTGTTTGGTTCGGTTTCCAAATGGGGTAAAGGAAGGACTTCGAAGAAACTGGAGGAGGTTTGCGCGTACTGGCACTCGCAGAAGCGCTTTGTTCATGGTGGTACCCTGATTATCAGCCTTTGGGGTTCAACCAGCTTTTACGGAACCAGCCACGGCGCCTTTTTGTCCCTAGATGAGTCGTGCCAGCCAGAGGAGGCAAGTAGGCACGAGCCCATTGGTTGAGGGTCGATGCCTTACCTCTGACCTCGATTTGTCATACTTCGACATCTCTGGGGCCTAGATTCCCTCGCCCTCGTCCTTCCCCCCTTGACCCGGGCAGTTTTGAAGAAGTGCTGATTCGTTGGGCCTTGGTTCCCAAGATGTCTACTTCGGGACGGGCTGCACGTGTTCCGAAGTTCATGTCGTGAGACCGGACGGAACTAAATAGGCTTTCTAGGCAGCCTCTGAAGCTCCAAAACCAAGAGGCAGTTCTTCATGGCTCCCATCGGCTCCTGAGCTCGGCCCCACGGAGCTGACCGCTGAGTTTTTAAGTCCAACCCCGGTGCCCGAGACCAAGCCTAAGCCCATCTAAGCCCTAAGCCGCCCACCAACGCCCAAGGAAGAACTTGGCACTGCTCCATCCACTGCCGGACCGCAACGGTCGGAGCCGCGTCTGAGCTGCAATTAGTATTGAACTGTTGGGGTTTGGCTTGACGGCTGACGAAGGCTTGAGGCGTGCATGTTCGCGAAGCGCACGCATCAAGCTCTGTGCATAGCACGCCCAGCACGAGGACTGCTTCTCCAGCAGTTCGAGCTCCGGCGCTTGAACTTGGCCGCTCGGATCAGGAGTTTAACAGTGTAGGACAGTGCAGCTATATGCTAGCCTTGGCCTCTCATGACTTCATCACTGTGGACAGTACAAGAGATGGTGCTTTGGGTCTCTGTTTCCCGGTTTCTTGAGACCTGAGCTGATGGAAGATTGAATGGACGTGCCGACAGATTTAGTGAGTGGCATGGAGTCGGTGTTTCAAACTTGCAGCAGACATGGTGCGCCCTGTTGCTGACCTCTGCTAGCACTGGCTCTGCCATGTCTGCACTCTGACATGCGTACTTATACATGCGCACAGGGCGGTTGTGAATGGGCCATGCCCCGCAATGCGGGCATGTCCAAATCGTAGGTTGGGCAACGGATGCGCATAAGACTCATAATGGGCAATTCGTTTTCTCGATTCAGCCCGGCACGGTCATTTCTTACATCTTAAATGCCCACTGCCACATGGGCAGCTCGAGCGGGCAATCATGAACACTAGGCCTGACGCCCTAAACCCCCCCGCACAGGCATGCGGCACCATGAGCTTCAACAACAACCAGAACGCCCCAGGGACTGCTAAGGGTTCGGGGTTCTCTTGCTATTTTGGGCTCAGGTTGAAAATGGATTTCGACTTTGGGGATCTGAGTTCAGGTGTGTTGAGGGCTGAGGGGAGCCCTGAAGCATGGAACTCGCAGCAAACTGCAGAGGTGTATCCGTCCCGGTGCCGCAAAGGGAAGACTCCGAAACAAAAGTGGCAAGGGGATGTTTCGGGTTGAGAATAACCAGGTGACTCCAAATCTGAGAAAAATGTTCATACTCCCTGCCATGGGATTACTTCTCCTGTAGCTGTGGCTTTGAGCACATGTTTTAGGCTGCTACCTTCCGTTCGTGTGTGTGTGTACAGACTGCATGCTTGAATGTTGCGCATCAGAGAAGCATGAGCTCCCAGCTGGCAAAGGGAGTGTACACCACCCTGGTCAGCAGGCCACGGTTGTTCTGCAAGTAGGTGAGGATCCCTTCTATGGCTTAAGTATACCGCCCAGGTGTACACAGATTCGGTTGACACCTTGGCGGCCAAACTCCAGGACGAGCTGTGGGTCACTGTGCCGTTTGCCACCGGGCTCCTTTTCACAGTGAGGGCCTACAGTCGGGTAATTTTGGGTTTCTAAGCTCCAGTTAGTGCGGTAAGACTCCCACAAGCCCCAAGAACTGCGGCCATAGTCGTCGCCATAGTCGCTGCAGTGTGGGTTGTCCAGCTATGCGGCTATGCGGGAATGAAAGCGTCGCCGCCCAACAAGCCAAACTTTCCAGGCAATTTTTGTCGCCTAGTATCCTTTTGTCGCAGGAGGGCATCGACATGTACAACGCGGCCAGGTCTTCAGGAAAGAACCCTTGGTTGGAACAAGGCCTGCAGAGAAGGCTGAATGCAAGCCCTTCTCCCTCAAGCGAGGAAAGCCTGTGGCCCCACTCTCAAACCTGAATGCCCTGCGGCCAGAGCCGTCAAGCTAGCCTCGTTCTCAATGACTGTCTGGGGTGCAAGCATGTTTGTGGTTGGCTTGTAAGGCTGAAAGGCTTATAAGGGTCAGGATGTAGGACGTGCGGGCTTTGCCACGGACTACTTGTCTTATGGAGACCGGCAGCCTTGAAGGCAACGTGGCACGCCACCGAGAGAGGTTCGCCCAGAAATACGATCCTTGCATGCAAAGGAGGACTAGTCGCAGGGTCGAAATGGTCCACGCAAGGTTTGGAGACTCCTGCGGCGTCGGAGTTGCCTTCCCAAGAGCACAGAGCACGCTTGTTTTGCTATGTTCACTTTATGTTCATTCTTGTTCTATGTTTTTGCTTTAGGTATGATGAGTTTATGACCGAGTTCTATTGTGGTCAAGCTAAGGAGAACGCACTGGCAAGGTGCACACGACCAGCTAGGGCCATCGCAGTTTTGGCTCGAGGCCTTTCATGGGAATGAGTCGGATCTGGCCAAAAGGCTGGCATCGCCTGGGACCTTGTCAAACAGTCCCCTGTCACGTGCACGCTGCAAGTCTCCACCGGTCTCAGACAGACTCCGCTACTGACCCCTCAGACGAAGCGAGAGCGGCGAGTGCAAAACAGTGGCGTGCGGGTGAAGGCTTTTGATTCTTCGACTGGCAAACAATGCCGACATCCGCTTTAGATTTTAGGTGAGGAGGGTGCGGTCCAAGTTCTGGACTGGTTCTGTGCCCGAAGCCCTCTAAACTCCCTGAGCTCGAAAGGAACCCTACGGCTGAAGATTGCTACTCCCTGGTCCTTGGGGAACACAGATACACTTGGGAGGGCTTAAGGGATGTAAGTTCATATAAGGCAAAAGAGGCTGCGAGAGCCCGTGGATCGACAGGTATGGACAGGCATGGTATCGGCCAAGACCGGCCAGGGCTACAAAAACAGAAGTGTGTCTAGGCCCTATAAACCCTAAGCCAGAAAGTCTTGCTATTCAGGAGCGAAAGACACAGCTTGTCTTATCCTGAGGTCACCAGCTTCTCGTTGATCGACACTGCAATGGTATTTGAATCTAAGGCTGAGGCCTGCCAGGCAACTGCAGGTTCGATCAGGCCCATCAAGCCAATCACGATGTGTCGCTTCGGGGGATATCCTACCATACAGCCTCGGTGAGCAGCCACAGAGTCGAAACTCGGGGGTTTCGCGCTCGTTTCGCCACTTAGCCCTTCAAAGGGCTCTATCTAATTCCCTAAGCACCAGTAAGAGAAGCCTTGGTCCTGGCCGTCGCGCTCCCAGAAACCCTCTCCACCCAGAGTGGTTGCCCATGGTTAGGCACTTTTCCGCCCGTGCGCAGCGCACCCGGGCCGTCCTTGCACAGTGGTTAGAAGTTGTGTTTTCAGGCCTTCAGGCGGGGGTCCGAGGGCTCAGATTCGTTGGCCTTCAGGGTTCGGAGGCTCTGAATTCGTCAATTGCACTTTCAGACTGGTTTGATGCAAAAGGGTTTGACTTGCGAATGCTACTCTAGCGTCTGGTGTTTCGGTACAGTTCACAAGAGCCCTTTTATTCCAGGGCATGTGGATGGCCTGAGCCTCAAGTTTCAAGACTCCAACTGCTGCTGCTGCAAATCTGACAAACCTCAACGGCAAGATTGCCCACACCTGATTTCCAGAAGCTGTTGCTTCTTCAGCTTCCAACGCGAATCCTGCGACACATGCTTTGTCTTGTACCTTACAGCTGGGCACAAACTAGGAACTATCTATCTATATATATATATATGTGTAGCATGTATGTATGTGGTTCATGAGTCTCTCCTCATACTATCTGTGTATATATATATACATATACATTTCAGAGAGAGAGAGAGAGAGAGAGAGAGAGAGAGAGAGAGAGAAAGAGAGAGAGAGAGAGAGCATAGAAAACACCCCCAAACCTGCTTGCAGCCCTTGAAGCCTCAGTTCTCAGGCGATGATGGTGCCGGACTATGCCCTTATTGGAGAGATTGTCCTCTATTCGGCCTGGGGCCTCACTTCGCGGACTTTGCTGGGGGCTTTTATTTAGACTTTGGGAGGACGAGGAATTCAGGTCCGTCGGGGGTGGAGCTGCGCTTGTGTGGGATTTCTGGCAGATGTGAGCGATCGTGAGTGCCCATATGGCAGTGAGAGACTGCCGAACGCAGCGTTGGCCCTCAGGTCCTGAACCCCAAACTTATCCTCTACACTTAGCTCGACCGTGTTTCGAGGTGGGCTTCGGGAATGCCAAGCCTTTGGCTGCCAAGGCGGCGCAGGGGGGCGCGGTGTGGTGGCAGGAGGGGACAGGAAGGGTGAAGGGCCGCCAGGTCTCGGTTGTTGTGGGTGCTTGTTTCAGCGTTTAGGCTTCGGAGCTCTTAGGGAAGTCCTCGTGGGCTTGAGGCTTGCTGGAACTTGAAGCCATAGCAGGAAGGGCCTGGGCTTCAGGAGAAACCCGTCTCAAAGCTTATGGTTATTCTGATAAGGCATTCCGGCTCACAGCCAGCAACCCTGCATGCAGAGGTTGGTGATTGCTGTCAGTTCAAAGCTTGCCAGGCAACGCAATTCCAGAACTGAACTCCCGCAGCTGCCGACATGTGCCCTGAACCATACCTAGCCAAATGGCAAAAGCCCCATGAAACATGAGAACCAACACACATCAATAAAGCCCATAGAAAAGGCGGTCGCGTCTCTGCGCCTGGGATCCGAGCAGCTCTCTTCCCAGGCAGGGTTTAGGTGCAGTCCGGGTCTGGTTGCAGCTGGGAGCATGCATAGTGCTACAAGCCCAAAGCTGCATCAAAGTTTCGCTTACAATCCAGCACCCGTTGACCCATCTTCCACTTTTAGGACATGGTGTCCCAATACAAGCATTGTTTTGTTGCGTGGGCTTCTCCAAAATTCTCCGGAGCATGACCTACTCTTTGGTCAGTTCTGCACCCATTTTGACGAGTTTGTAGCAGCAACTCGCTGTCAAGGAAGATTCGAGACAGGGGCCTGATCTCGTTTGATTCGGATGAAAAGCCCATGGGAGGATCACTACGACTTCGGCATGCGCGCTCTGAAGCTGCGACCTCAGGTCGAGAGCCCCAAGGCCCTGCGAGTTTCGTCAAGGTGGCTACCCTCAACTGCCACCATGGATGCCTGGAGACATTGCTAGGTTCTGCTTGGATGAGGGGCAGTCGGACTCAATCTTCCGAGAACCATTTCCCACCCCAGGTCGATCCTGGTCGCAGCCGGTCAGCTTCGCAAGAAGTCCGGGCGCCTGTCGTGCGTTCGCAGGTCTGGGTACACCATCTGCCGATGGTTTTGATTATTTATCGCCAAGAAGCTCAACTTCAGCTGGTAGGGCTGCACGACCACCTTCAACATCCTGGGTTGTCCGAAACTCTAGACTGTAGACCCTAATCAAGCCTCCCCAAGCCCTGCGCGTTCAGGGAACCTCAACATGACTTGCGACAGTCCGAGCAAGTCAATCGGTAGGCGTGGCGTTGCACGAAAGAATTCGCGTTGTTGCTATTGACATTCTAGAGGTTGGCTTTGCCCCCTCAATCTAGCATCCTTTGGCTTCGTGTTCTGGGTCCTTTTGCCGACGCTGACTCAAGAATTTAGTGGCAACCATTAACACAAAGAGCATGCTGCAGGGTATCGCTACCTTCGATTCAAGCCTCACAGCGTTCGGGAAGCCTAAAAACGACCAAGGTTCGGCAACAGCAGGGCCGAAGACATCTTGATGCTGTCTGCTCTAAACGCCACGCTCTCAGCAGCCCGTGGAATGCTTCAGAGGAGTTCAGGGCTTTGGGAGCCAGGAGCTTAAGGCTTAGATTCTGGCTTCGATTGACATCGCGCCCAGTATGCAATCAAACCTCTAAGTCCCAAACAATCCCCAACTTGAAGTCGCCAGGAGCAAGCTGAGACGAACTTTCCACTTCCATGATGAACCTTAGTCACCACTGGGCTAGGGGCGAGATATCGCCGGGCAGAAGCGAATGTTCTGAGATGAGTCGAGACGCAATTTGCAACGTGCTACTTACACAATGATCCTGCCGCATGTCGGACCTCCGTCCAGAAAGCAACTGTGTAACAGCCTCAAGATGTCCACCGCAGAGTGGTGCACACCTTGTTTTCGAGCCAATTCTCCTGCTCTCGAACCAGCGAATCTTCTGTGAGGACGTGAACTTGCCCAAGTTCACATCCAACGTGGCTTGCAAGCACTTGGCAGGGAGACGGTCATGTAACGCGTGACTGCAGGTGTGAAGGGTGGGGCCATCAAGGGGCTCCAACTTTCTGGCGGCTTGTAGCGCGCCAATCTAGGTAGCAACATTGATGTCCGAGCCACCCCGAAGCTCCAAACAGCAGGTCTTGGCTTGTCTCAATCGCGGCAATCAAGTGTAACATTCAGAGAGCCAAGGACATCCCACTATTCTTGGGAATCACGGGCGACCTCTTCCCCGGAGTCAAGCTCGGACCCCATTCGGAGGCTGAAGCCAACAAAGGCCGTAGGGGCTCCGGGGCGATAGGGTAGAGAGAGAAAGAGAGGGAACCAATCTGACAGATTTCAAACATGGGGCCGGAGCTTTGAGACAGGGACTGCATGTTTTCTGCCCGACCTACAAGGGGATGGGGAACTGAAGCAATTGCATTGATGTGTTCAATCCTGACTTACGGGGGGACGGGGGACGGGGGGGCGGGATCCTCTCCCAACCCGGGAGGCAAAAAACCCTGTCGGGCGCTTTCTTGCACGGGGGGTAGGCTAGGGCTGCCTTCCCTGCTCCTCCACCAAGCCTAGCAGAAGCAGAAGCAGAAGAAGCTGAAGAAGAAGAAGAAGAAGAAGAAGAAGAAGAAGAAGAAGAAGAAGAAGAAGAAGAAGAAGAGAGAGAGAGAGAGGGAGAGAGAGCGAGAGGACACACCACGCGCCCCTGGGGGCGGCCTCTTTGGGGGGGGTCATGCGTGGGGGAGAGGGAGAGGGAGAGAGAGAGAGCGAGCGCGAGAGGGAGAGGGAGACCGAGAGCGAGAGAGAGGCCACGGCGTGAAATTCGAAGCTCTCAGCATAGCCAGAGAAAGCTGCCAAAACAATGCACGCTGTGGACCTTGGTGTTGCCCCAAAGTTGATGAACCCGCAGGCGGCAAATTCTCGGACAAAGGCCCAAAGTGAGGAGGAGAGAGAGCGAGAGAAAGAGAGAAATGGAAATGGATGGAGAGAGTTTTTTCAGGTCTTGGGGCTTTGTGGGGTTTAGGTTGCAGTTATCGGGGCTGGACAAGGATTGGGGGTTTTAGAGCTGAAAGCTCGCGGGCCATGTTCCAAGCAACGGAGTTGGGGCTTCGGGTTTGAGGTCGCTTTCGATTCGGCTGTGAGACAGCTCAGGTTGCCGCCTTCGGACTATGGCAAGCTCATCAACGAGCTGGAAGGCACATGTGTACGGCACATGTAAGGCTCTGTCAAACAACCCGAAACCGCCTAACAGTTCAACAAGGCGGGTGCCCAAGCCAACCGACCCTGAACCCTTCCTTCCCCTTTTTCTGCCTTCAAACATAAACGCCTTGGAGCTCTGTGCAGGTGCCGCACGTGCGCGCCACCTCCAGCCCAAGGCGAGCCCGCCGCTCTGGGTGTCGAGAGATCGGCACATGGGGCCATAAAACACCCCCCGACATAATACCCCGAAGCACCACATGCGTTCCACCATGGCGCCGAAACCTCTCGACTGACCACACCTGAAAAAGGACGAAATCCCAAGCACATCCATGGCTTGGGGAATAGCTTTTGGGGCCACCGTTCTCATTAACCCAGTTAGGGTTGAGGCGAGGCACTGCTGAAGCTCGCCTCCGCCGTGCTTTCATGTGCTTTCCAGGCCTCCTTCATCCACAAGTGCACCCAGCTTTGGGAAACCATCATGGTCAGGCCAGGCATACTGGTCTTTCAGGGCTTGGAGCTTTGAGGGCCAGGTGGAAGGGTGGCAGGGTGCAAGTTCAAGCGGTCTGTTGGGAGTGTTTGACTCCATTGCCCCCTCCGAACCCCCCCCTCCCCCCCAGCGCCCGCAAGTAAGTTTGAAGCATCGCACGGCTCGTGGAGTTTTGACATGGTGCAGGATGTGTGTGGGGAGTTTTCCTCCGACTGCAGGGCAGTGTCCACAAGGGCAGCCGACCCCAACAAGACCGGAAGCATCCGATCTGACAACTCTCCTCCTGGCTACATACCACCGAATGCGCAAATGGCCGACGCCGACAAATCCGAAAGCAAGAGCCATTTTAAGATGATTACCAGTATGTACCCCGATGGCCACTTTTGCCCCGCGGCCCGTTCACTGATGTTTCGTGCGGTACAGGCATGGCTTGATGGTGGTCGGTCCTGGCCTCAGAAGGACCGAGGCTTTGAGCTTTAGCTGTTACACATGTCCCTCTTGACCTGCTGGCATTCATATGGAGTACCTTGCCAACCTCTCACAAGCATCCTCGACATGCAGCAGTAATCGGAAAGTTGTAGCAACTTGCAGATGCGAATCGTCCGTGTTTCCCGCAGCATGCGAGGGGAACTCATCGGGCTGAGGACACTTGTGTGACGCTTTCAGCTATTGGGGGTAAGTTGCTTCTGACACTTCTGGTGCTGCCGAGGTATGAATGTCTCTGGAAAGTCCGAGGCCCCATGCCTGTTCGCGCAGCTTAATAATGGCCGCGAGCCAAAAATCTGACAATCCATGCAAGCTGCGCATGCGCATGTTGGCGGTTTCTGCACGAACCTTTTCGCGTCGAATGCTTGCCCACTTCCCCGGTCATTCCTATGACAAGCAGCCACATCTTAGTAAGCTTCTGAGCTAGATCTCCACGTTGTGGTGGGGCTGGCCCCCAAACTCGCTGAAGGACATGTGCTGTCAGGGACTCTCGCATAGCTTGCATGCACTCACGATTTTGCAGCACTGCGGCAGACTGAGGACCCAATCAACAAAGCTAACTAAAGCTAAAACTCAGACGATGGGCCCGCTTCTTCTGCCGGAAGGTGGAGAACGTCTTGGCGGCTGCTTTGGCGGCGGTGGCAGATGGTGCCTTTGTTCTTCATTCTGGCCTTTGGGGAAGATCCAGGGGCTTGCCAGACCTCGTGGACATGTTTGTGCCTGAACCATGGACTTTAGTTGCTCAGCTTTATCAGCGACCATCATATTTTGCAAAAGGCCCCCAAGAACAGCAGATACATGATACAGCCCTAAGCAGGGGTCGCGCAAGCATGGAATGGAGTCAGGCATGTTTCGCAAGGCTGTGCAGGGCGGCTGCGTCTGTGACATATTTCTGTCGCGGCTTCCTTTCAGCCGACGGCTGTGCTAACCCGAAAGCTGCAAGGTGCAACTACATCCGTGGTTTGACTAGCAAGTGAGAACGATTGGGTTAGAACCTCTACCTTCCGGGTGTTCAAAGGACGGGGTTTGGAGCAGGTGACCACAACCCCTTTCCAAACGCCGCAGCATGTGCGCAGGCGACCTGTATCTGCCCTGCCAGATCCACAAGATCAACCCAAAGTCGGAAGCCCATGCTTGGCAAACAAATCAGCACGTGTAAGCGCTCGGCCCAGAATGGGCTCAGCCCTCTCTCAGCTGTTGCAAGCATTGGTGGCCCCAAGCGGTATAGGAGAAAAGTAGGGCGAAGAGTCACACGCCAGGAAAGCTGACGGCTGAGCTTAAACTTTGTTTGTCGCAGACATTTGTGCGCAGGTATTCCTGGAGTGTAACTCGTGTGAGCATTGAGGTGGCCAGGGAAACTCAATGTAAGGCATCATAGCGCTAGGAACAGTGCCGCATGCGACCTTCGTTGATGTTTGGCGTGATGTCTCGTGCATGTGGGCGACGTGTCTTTAGCATGTGGTCGATATTGCTCATGCATGACAAGGCAGCACAATGCTGCAGATCTCGGCCTTGCTCAACCCCAAACCAACATACCCACGACGTCATCTCGTCACTTGCTTGAGGTCCATTAAGCAGGGCCAGTTGTACGGCGACTTCGACGAGAACACGCACGAGTGGACCGACGGCATCCTGGCGCTTACCGCCTCCTGGCTAAAATTCGGCGCTGGTGTTCCCTGATTCCGACTGTTGATGCTAGCACAGACAGGGTCAGACAGAGACCCTGTGCCGCGGAATCGTGTTGGGGAAGTAGCCTTGAGCCCTCCAGATTGGGGTAAACCTATCGAATCGCAGGAGGCGTTGTCGAAAATTCCGAACTTACCTAGCGATAACACTATGTATACATAAATCTACACAGAAATAGGATGCGGCATGCTTGTGCTTTCCCATGCACGAAGGTCCGCTACACTGCCAATGCTGACCCGGGCCACCGACAGTGGATCATGCTGGCGTCGAGCTTGGCTTTGTCGGACTCGAGTACCCAGCTCTATAAGCCTCCATCTTCACTCCAAGAATGCCTGAAGCCTATGCTGCCCCAAAGCCGCGAGGCCTTGTACCCTTCAACTAAATTGAGCTTAGGGTTCTAGCCTTTGGGGTTAGAGGGCTTTTGCCTGGCTTAAGGGGGACATGATGTGGTTGAACGAGAATTTGGGTTCGAAGGGATCTTGGGCCTTGGGGCCCCCGACTTGAAGGATGGTCCGGTGGACGCCGTGTGGATCGAGAACATGAACACCGTCCTTGATGTTCCCCCGCCTGCTTTTGTGGTCTTGGGCTGTGGAAGCAAGGGATTTCTTAGAGCTCACTGGAGCTGACTGTGAGGGTAGGGTTCAGGACTCTAACTAACGTCCGTGTACTGGATTGTAACGGTTGTAGTTGCCAGGACAATAAGAAGTTGTGCCTCAACAGCGGCGAGATCATCAAGCTGAGCCCAGCCCGTGTCCTCAGTGGCCAATGCCCTGAAATGGAGGTCAAGAAGGTTGAAATTTCAGTGTCAGCAGCGTGCTGGGAAGTCAGCCTGCAAGTCAAGCCGCACACCTTTTTCTCGCTTTTGGCTAGACAACCCAGGTGACCACAATGATGTTCGAAGTGGAGGACGCGAATTTTTCCTGTTTTTCTAGGACAAGGGTGGGCCTCTGTCATGTGACTGAAATGTAAAGTTTTTGATCCCAACATTCAACCAAATACCTGCTGGCGGCGAAATGGACTCGGATAGACCCAGCTCAATCCATCGCAGCCCGATTCTTGTTTGTGCTAGCTCGCGAAGCCAAAAGCTGCAGGCTTCAAGTGCAGCGCGAAGAAACCAGCTACGAGCTTCGTTTTTGAAACGCGAAGCTCGCGACAACAGAAGATTTAGGCTTCAGGCATAGCGAGAAGCGCGCGAAGGTAGTTAAAGCTTCAGGCGAAGCGCGAAGCCCGCGAAGCTAAAAGCTTCGGCCGACGCGCGAAGCTCGCGAAGCTAAAAGCTTCAAGCTTCAGGCTTCAGCCGAAGCTCGCCAAGCTAAAGGCTCAAAGCTGCAATCAATCTTCAGCCGAAGCGCGAAGCTAGAAGTATCACAGCTTCAAAGGTTCAAGCAAGCTATGACCTTGGCAGAGGAAGCATTGCACGTCGCGGAAATTTACAGCTGCAGTTGCCGGCTCCTTTTTATTAGAGCTGGCTTGGTGCCAACCGTCCAAAGCTTGCGATGTTCATTTCATGATGCATAGGCGGCGCAATCCCCAGATCTCAGCATGACGGATAGTGGCACTGAGCGGTGCTTGCGCGGGCCTTCTCTAGAAAAGCAGCTTCCATCATCCCAGAGGACCCATGAGGGTTTCTGCAAGACACAGCCCTCCGAAGCTAAGAAGAGCCGTGGGAGAAAGGGATCTCAGATAGGGTTTGGGGATGTTTTGGCTTCGGAGTAAGCTGCTGGGATCGAGTGGCACAAAAGTGGCAAGCCTGTTCCACAAAAGGAGTTGTGGATTGAGTCTGGCTCGCTATGTATTTCTGTTCGTCAGGATCTGACCGCCGCTTCGCCAGCCACTGTGTCGCGCTGCGGCATGGTCTTCATGGAGCAGGTGGTGTGGGATTTTTCGGGTTCTGGGAGGACCCGAGGCAACTCCAAAGCAGTCACCAGAGATTGGGCGCTCTTGACGTTTCCAGAATTAGGCACTTCGCAACCTGGATTGAGGAAATTGAGAAATCTGCGAGCACTACGCCACATTTGACCGTGTGCTGAGCTTTGCAGAACTTGTCTACTTGTGATGCTTGCGTTCCTTTCAGTGTGATGCTGAGACACGGCAGGTACCAGGGCTTGCGGGGATCTTTTCGTTTCGTTTTCTTCAGCACCTGAGCCCCCCCTAACCCCGCTAGAGGGAAGCATCTCTAAACCCATTGCATCTGCCAACTCTTGGCTCATCAGCCTGAGAGGCTCTACTGTGACATGACATGGCGCAACCGAAGCTACCTAGACCCCCCGACTTGTAGTTCTTGTTTCGCGGGGGATACATCTCTATGGTTTGTGCCAGAGTGCAAGCTAGACTGGCAATTGGCTCGATCCTTGGCATGAGAGCATCAAGCGAAATATGATTGAAGAGGAGTAACGACAAGGGTACCTGCAAATTGAATAGAAGCAGGTTTGTTTGTGTGCTTAAACCCTGTTGAAGCTCGAGTGACAGGGATGTAGGCCATTCCATTGCCACAGATGGTGATTCATAGCTTCCGAAGTAGGTTTTCGCTTCTCGTCCTGGTCTACATGTCTCTTCATGTTGCCGCATCTCTGTCGGCACCGTTGGGGAGTTTGCTGTGGCGTCTTGGGCCTGGACAGCTGTGCTGGAAATGGTTTCTTGACAGAACATTTTTTGGGGCTATCCTGTTTTATGCATTGCCGAGGTGTCTGTTCCACTTCATTAGCAGCCTCCACTCTGAATGTATCCGTTCTCGAGGTAGCCGTGCCGCAGCGAGATCGCGTTTTTGCTTTCCGCGACTTCGTGGTGCGAACATTCGAGGGCGAGCTGCAGAATGGACCTGTCTTAGACATGGCTGGAGGTTTGCGAGGGAGGGCTTCAGGATGCAAAGTTTGTTTCATTGCAATTATACTCTGACAGAATTGCATTAATTAGTCTTGGGCTGATCTTGCAGACGCATGGTCGTTGAAGATTCACAAGGCCTTTTCGCACGTAGCAAAAAACGCTCTCCGCGGCACAGGCAAAGGTGACTTGTCCTGGCTGCTGGTGAACGCAGATGCTGCAGATGCCATTGTCGTGGATCCCAGGGTAACGGACCACACAAAGATTTCGCGAACTGCGATGTGGCACTTCGAGTGTCGCGGCAGATTTATCCGGACTGGTTCCTGGAAAAGGTAGCCCACAATAAAGATGAAGCGGTACTTCTTGCTTTTCCTACAACGATGCTGCAGCAGCTCCAATCATGGGCGGCACCTAAGGAATCGGAATTGGGACCCTGGCGATCTCAGAAGCGAGCGTGGACCCCAAGGCTGACAGGGCCAGAAGTTCGAACCAAATAGTTGGCGACATGCAAATGCGTTCGAGGTTGAGGACAATGATACTAAAGTTGACAATGACAAGTGTAGACTCCACTGAAAGAGCTCACGGGCAGCTCGGGAGGGCCTGGCGATTTTGAAGCATGTTGTCACGAATGGACCATTAGCTGATCGCTGGACCATGCTGATTGTCTTAGGTTTGTGCTTGTTAGCACGATCTTCTTGCTGCAATCGAGAATCCTGGATACTCCGACCTCTTCAGGGCCCATCCGCGCCCTGAACCTGGAGCCGCCATTCGCAGTTCCACGCCATCTTCGTGTCTTCATGGCTCCTGCGGCCGAAGTTCAGGGTTTAGGGCAGGTTGGTGTGGGATGTTTTTGTGAAGTTGAAGAAGTTGGGGTGCAGGGCTGCTTACGCCTCTAGAGGCTTTCATTGGGGCTTCGCTCTACAGGCTTTAGGGCTCGGGCTTGGGGAAGTGTTTGGAAGGGCTGACTCATACATTCATGCTATCAGTGCAACACCCCCTCACTTGTTGTGCAATACTCCCACACACCATGACAAACGGCGTGCTTCTTGAAAGCTACTGCCCTAAGTCCTCGGCCCCTCGACACACCTATGAACGCACTGAATCTCCTGAGTCTCCTGTTCTGCAAGCTCCCGGCAGCTTTCGAGGACCAGGAGTTGCTCACGGCTCTGCGAGGGGAGGTTTCCTGGGAGGCGTTTTGGGCGCAGGACGGGAGGGGCGGGGGGACGAAGTAGAGGTAGTCTAGGCTTTTCCGTGGCTGCTTGGGTTTGGGGTTGGCGTACGCCAGAGCACCCAATACCTACCTACCTCTCCTCCAACAACCCTAAGCCGAATAATCGCTAGCAAATTTTTTCTAATGCTATCTATTCATTTGCATGGGGTTTGTTCAGGGCTCAATGCCGCTCTGGCATGAAAGGGGTGCTGGTGCGTTCTGTTTGGGGGTGGTTGGGTGCTCAGGGCTTGTTGGGTGATTTTTTAAGGGGCTCACGGCCCACTTGGGGGGTTTAGGTCGAAGAGGCGAAACCGGCCGGCCAAGTGATTCCACCCCCCAATAAGTCTCAAAACTCCCCCCCCCCCCCCCCAAACACTGCATATAGCCCCGCAAGATCCCACACCACAGACACCACCGAAGCTCAGCGCTGCCTTGGAGGCCGCATCTTGATACCCAAGTGCACCTAGAAAAGCCAAAAAACTATGAACCGGAACCCCCGAAACTCCTAGAACCACCATAGCATTTTTCCCACCAGTCGACTCGGAGGCTGTGGACAAGGCAGCGGTGATGGCAGAAAGAGGACCCGGAAGACCCAGGGGGGGGTCATCTCCTACATTGGGTCAACAGGCTTTCTTCATGCAGGCTGCACACCTTTGATTTTTCTAACACGGGAACCGCTTACGTCAGGAATTCCGAAATGTCTATCTTCCTAACATACTGCTTCTAGCTGCAAGATTGCTGCAAACTCATCGGACGACTTCTGCACGCACTAGGTGGGCTCATGTGTTCCAGGGCTGTGCATGCACACGTCTTGTTCATACCTGAAGTCGGACTTTTCTGAGTATCACAAAATGTGCTGATGGACTAAGTCACGAAGTCTTGTGCTGGTTGCAACGTTTTGCTTTTGTAGAAGCATGCTGGAAGGACATCACCAATCGCTAGGGCAGGCGCGTGATCAAGGACCCGTGTGAAGATGCCGTAGACAGCACATCTGAAAGCCCGCGTTTGCTTTCCGCTTGTGCCTGTAGTTAGTGAAGTCAGATGCCACCGGGCGAGAAGGCTACCATGGAATCTGTTGTCCACTCCACTTTCAGACCTCGCGGAAAGACCCCGAGTTTTAGTGAGTTAAATCTGTGATGGCCTCAAGGAAGGCAGGGTGCAGAATTAGTTTACGCAGTGCAGCTGGAGGAGAGAGACTTAATTAGATTCGCTTTCACAGTCACGTTTATGTGAAAAAGGCCGGGGGTGCGCGACCGCGATTCCTGCACTCGGATCCTGCGGTGCTGTGTGCATCTCCTAAGGCAAGTAGAGAGAATCGAGAAGCCTGCATTTATTATCGTGAAATCTCATGGCTGTTTTCGTCTAGCAGTGTAGCACGGATGACATTCCCGCGTCATCATGTCCAATGCCAGCCGTGGAGCTTTGCCGTGTGTGTGAGAGTGGGAGAGTGGGAGTCAAGATTCAGGAGTTCCGCGTGCCCGCTGCATCCAAGACCCAGCGGAGGCTGCTGCGGATGCTGGGCTGATCTGGGGGTTCGAGGTTGTTAGGGTTTGGGTTCGCACGGCTGTTTGGGAGCTTGTTAGGTGGCCTTGTGCAGCCGGCTTTGGTGATGAAGACCTTGATTTTTCTCATGCATGTGCGAACGTGCACTAAGCCACGAAGCCCTACGAAGGCCTGATCACCTTAAGAAACTCAACCTCCCACAGCCGTACCATAAAAACTCTGAAATCTCAGGTGCTGGAGTCTTGCAGTCTGATCCTGGGGTTCCACCCAGACCAGGCGCCCAACACTCACGACCGACCGAAGAATTGCCAATTCCCTCCTGCGCCGTGAGTTGGAAGGGAGGAACCTGTTGCAAGTCACTCCACGAAGAAACGCATGGGATTCTTACCTCTGGTTTGGGGTATAGGCTAGATGTTTGTGAACACACGCAACGGTGTCGTTTGATCTTGAAACCTCCGGTCACCAAGTATACAACTGTATGCTGCCTACTTTGGGTTCAGGGTTTAGGGCAGGTTTAGGGTTGGCTTTGGCTGTGAGGCGCATCCAGGCAACAGGATTTTATGCATCGGGTTGTTGCGGAGTCGTCTGTGGAAACGTGCGTGGTTTTGCCTGGGATGCCAGCACAGCCAATGTGTACCATCGCTGCCAAAGTGTTTGACGCGAAGGAATTAACTTTTGAATATACCCCTCAGTGCCAAATGGATAGTTTCTGGACGTTTGTTGCAGTACGTGGTGCGTTTAGTTCAGTTGTTTTTGCTTATGCCAGTTTGAAAAGGCCAGATTAGAGCATGGGTATGAAAGTACAACGCAGTTGCTTTCCTGGTCCAATTCTAAATCTTGCAGCAGCCAGTCGCCTTTGCACACTGAACTCACTAAACGCCTCACCCACCATGCATCCCTGGATTCGACTACCACCCTCTATAAGCCCTCCATACCCTGAGGCATAGACACATGCATGTGTATTTACACATCTAGATACGCGTGTAGTAAATATCTCTATACTGCGAAGTGGGAGGCGACGGAGCCCGCAGTGGACCTGGCAATCGAGCGGCAGATCCCCTTTGCGGTGTGCCCCTGCTGTGTTTTTCCGCCGCCTGCCTCCATTAACACAGACCCTGCAATCGGCTTTCAAGCGGAAAGCTGCCATTCATGTTTCGTGTACGAGACCCCCAAGCAACCCCAAAGACCCTGAGCCCTTAGTGAAATCGCAGCCAGTGGGATTTCTGGGTTTCGACCTTTCGAGTGCTCAGTTGAGGAAGGAGTTCCCGGAGAGAGAGCTGCATGGCCATCGAGTGAAGACTTATCCAGCTGCCTGGCAACTTCTCCAACACCCTGACTGCTCTAAACCCTGTTTAGGGTTACCTTCGGGCTTTAGGCCTATAACCTCACAACTCTGGGAGATGGAGACATGGATAGCAGCAAAGAATCCGAACAACTTTTTTGATCGAAACTCCCTGAGGTTGTTCTTCGCAAGAATCCTGAGCCAAGGATTTTGTGGAGTATCTCCACCGGAAACATCCTGCCATGCGCACTGCTGATTTGGATTTCGAGCCTGAGGGCGGGTATGCGAGAAGCATTGTGCTATACATGAAAGCAGAGGACTTTGCCAAGCCGAGAGCGCGTGCAGACGGTGACTAAGCTCGTCTTGGCCTGGAGTGACCAACCATTCTGCACTTCCGAGAACCACGACCTCGAGCTTTCGAAACAGATTTCGGCTCGCCGGCTCCGGGGATAGTGCACCTCGGATGTGAGCACTCCGCCAACAGCAAGTCCGTGAGAGCCAGAGTCGACGCTGGCATGAGCCTATCGTCGTGTCACCATCAAAAAGCAGGTGGCGCTCGTGCCTGCACAAGCAGGAAGCAACGGTTTAGCCCCCTGCTGGCCTGAGGGTTTGCAATGGTTGTTTGCATCGCTCTTGCCATGCACAGAAGCGGACCTTCTTTTGGTAGGTGGACATCGGCTGGCGCGTGCTGATGCAGTCTTGGCCGAGAACCCAGTGTGCGGTGAAGTGCGGCGCGAGCGGATCTGAAGCGTTAATCTCATGACCTATTGTAGCTCCCTTACTTTAGCAGCGCGCCTGGTGCACATGTGATGTCGCGGGCTGTTGCTGAGCTGTTCCCCACTAAGGGGCATGGAGCTTGAGGGTTCTAGTCTTGCGCGTACACTTGTTGCAGGTTCTATTAGTGGTCAAATGTGTACTTGGACCTAGGCGGATTCAAGAATTTCGCCCGATAGCCCCCTTGAGTCCTGCCAGACAGTTGTTATTCTCCTTGCAGCACCCTTGCATCTCTGAATGTTCTATGGATGACATGCATGTGAGAGAGCTGAGCAAAAGCTAAGTCTTTGAGCAAAGGGTTGCATATAAGACGACGGTGGGCTCGTGAGAATTGCGGTCCGCAGGCTTCTATCAATACCGGTGGCGTGTTTTTGGAACACCGGCTCGCGGGAAGCGGCAAATCTCGAAGCAAGCCTCTTCTGAGGATTGAAACGGCTCCAGAACGACTCCAGGACTGCTGTTGCTGCTCAGCCCAGACGCTGATCATCAGTGGGTGCAGAAACTGCATCCAAGGGTTTATTTGACGTCCGTTTCTTTGTACGAAGACTGTATGGAATGGGATGGTGCGACCCGAGATGCCTGATGAGTCGGCAGCATCTGGGGGACCGTTCGTTCAATTACTTTGTAAGGTTCCATATAGGGGATGCTAGCAGGGCGATTCCTCGAGACCCCTAATGCCCACACACTATTCAGAGCAGGTACAGAAAAGAACACCGCAAAGCAGAAACACAGCAGCACCAAGTTGGGGCGGCTGGACCCAGAAGGGTTTTGGGGTCCGGCAATAAACACAGCTCTAGCTAGCATTTGTAGTGAAAGTTGGTCCAATCTTCCAGGACTGTGGCGAACAATTGAAGACTCTCATGGAAACGAACATCGATCAGTGCTGGGAGATGTGCCAGCGCAAGGCTTCGTGATCAAGGGGGGATTTCGGGCTGTGGGGTCGAGTTTCTTCACTGGGCTTTCGTAGAACCGTGTCCTGGACCTGTCTTCGTAGAGTTTGGTTCAGGGGCTTGAGAGTCCGCTTCAGAGGAGACAGCTTCAGACCGGATCGACGGCGAACCCCTACAATCCGCTACACTTCGCTGCTAGAAGAACCTAAGGCCCTAGTAGTCACTGTTTCCCAGAAGACCTGGGAAGAGTCTTAAGAGGCAAGTGGCAAGGCCTCGCACCCACAAAAAAAGTTGGAAGAACTGCTCTCAGATCAAGACGCCGGTGCCAGTCACACAGAACTGGCTGGTTTGCAGCCTGCTCAAGCTGCTCATGGTGCCGCACTTAGGGAAGGGCCTTCGAGGATACTTTGCCCTGTTGGAGTTTTTAGAGGCTGCATGCCATATATGTGATGTGCTGCAAGCATCAGGTGTCTCGGGAGTTGGGCACTTCAGTGGTTCGGTGTGCTGGCGTTTTGGTTGTAAGACCCCAAGCCACGAAAAGGGGGAAAGAAGGCAGTAGACCACTACTCACCAGCTGACCACTTCTTTCCTAGCATGCGCGCCCAACATGGCACGCGAGGCCTTGTTGAAGATCGAGCTTCCGCTGGACCCCGAGAAAGACAAGCAGGACTCATGATTTGTGGCATTCGGTAATCAGGCCCTCACCCTCCATGGAGCTGCGAAGGGTGTGTTTCTGCTTTGCCAAAAACACTTGGAACTAGGTTGCACATGTGGCGTGGGTATGCATGGACATCACCACAGGGTGCCATGATGTAGGTTGAACGGCTACAGCAGGTCATTGATTTGTTTGCAGCCTGTCGCGCAGGACATGCCAGCGAAGGAGAAGGAGGTCAAGGTCGAGAACATGTCGGTACCTTAATTCCCACCCGGCACAAAATTTTCTCAAGACGGAGTCCTGAAGTATCTCACTATCCACGAAAATCGTTTAGTCTAGGACCCTAGGAGTCTAGGGCATCTAAGATACCAGGTTTGTGGAATCAAGGTGATACAGGGTCCTGGGTTTAAACCTTGAATGTACGGACTTTCTACCACCAAAGCTCATGCATGTTTCAGGGTTTCTGGGGCGGTCGGGCTCCTTTAGGCTGTAGGGTTGCAAGGGTTTATGGCTGATGTGAACCTCTTCATATTGCCTGGACAAGAGTTCGCGACGCAGCCCTAAGCCCCAAACACCAAACCCTAAACCCTAAATGAGTGTGTACCTCGCCTGGCTTGTCCGAGCGTAAGCGATTAAACCCCTTAGACCCGAAACCCTAAACCCTAAACCCTAATCCTAAACCCTACAGGTTCTGGCTGTCCATGGTCTGGAGCTTCGGAGCAACGACGGACAGCGCCGGAAGGAAGATCATGAACTCGCACGGGGACCTTGGGGGATTTGCCAAGAGGGACATCTAGGACTCAGGGATTCTAGACCATTTCGCCCATCCTCCCCCCACCCCCCCTCAACAAAAAAAACAAAAATCAGAAACGTAGGAACAAAAAGCATTTCTGGCTCCCCCCCGAGACAAACAAAGCGGGACCATAAGGCAAGGGTAGCAAGCCGTAGTAGGTGCCAGGAAGGTCCAGGCAACAGGATTGGAAGCTCCACAACAAGCCATACGGACTACCTTCAAGGCTTGCAAGCTTTCCGACATTCATGAGAGGACTTTATAGAGGCGTTCAGGTTCGGAGGGAGTCCTCTGACATAAGCATGTATGCTTCGAGGGAAGGGGGAGCATGTTTATTCACTCATCGCCAAGGGCCAGAGGCAGTTTACACTTCAGGCTTGAGCCAGCAGTTACCTGGTTACCTATATACATGCAGCCCTAAGCCTACGTGTACGTCCTTGACGTCTTGCAGCCGTGCTTGAGGTTTATTCGGGCGATTCAGCAGGGCATGCCGGTCAAGGCCCAGCGGTTTGACTCTACAAACCAGTATCTTTGCCTACGGAGTGGAAACAGTATTTCTTCATGGTTGCAAGCGAGGCGGTGTTGAAGGTCCGGCTTCGGGCTTTTCCTGCGATGTAGGGTCAGAAGGTAAATGCTGCTGTGCGGAGGCCAAGGAAGAAGCTTCTTCTGCAAGCACGAGACTTAAGTAAGTAGACAGCGTGAGCTTGAGTGGCCGACTCCCCTTGCATTCCTTTGGGTTGTGTTGGCTGCTGCACTGCAGCGAGCTCAACTAGCTTTGCAGCAGCTATCTGAAATCCCTCTCATACTGAACAGGAAGAGTTTGACCTCATCGCTGACGACCCGACCATGAGGCCGTCCATGCACCTTTGCAGAGCATGCCGACGACAGATTCCAGGGTTACACGTTGCAGTCATCTTCTGGCTGCTAGAGTACGGGCAACGTAGTTCGCAAAGTTCTGAGTGGACTCAGCAGAGGGATTGTAGCCAGAATCCGGCCGGCAGGGCTGCATTGGGCAATGCATATATATATATATATGTGACATACATTATTGGTAGTGCAAGTCAGGTTGCTGCACTTTTTGTAAAGATGCTGCCAGCGACGCAGCTCTGCAGGCCTCATAGGAAGCCTGTCGGGAGTTTCGCTCCAACTTCCTCTTGTCGTGGCTTTTGCTACATGCCACGGCAGGCCTGTGTCAAAGACGCCTTTCCCAGAGAAGGACACGGTGTACGAGTACTTTGCCTTCTCCCAGTCGCTAGCCCCAGCAGTAAGTTTAAACGTTCTCGTTTCTACCGTTTCAGGGTGCAAGAGCGAGAGAGAAAAGATCGAGGGAGAGAGAGAGAGAGAGATTGAGAAAGGGACAGGGGGCCTCAAGCGCGCACCAGAAGAAGAAGAAGAAGAAGAAGAAGAAGAAGAAGAAGAAGAAGAAGAAGAAGAAGAAGAAGAAGAAGAATAAGAAGAAGAAGAATAACACGAAGAAGAAGAAGAAGAAGAAACAGAAGAAGAAACATAAGGAGAAGCAGGGGTCTAGGGGGAGTTCATGACCACAAAAGCGGGGCTCCCTGAAGTTTCTCTACAGGAACCCAAGCCGGGAACCTTAACGAGAGTCCACTGAACCGTGCAGAAGAAGCAGCGCAGAAGAGAGAGAGAGAGAGACAGAGAGAGAGGGCGAGAGAGGAATCGAGAGAGAGAGCGAGCCAGCGGGAGAGAGAGGGAGAGGGCGAGGGCGAGAGACAGAGAGAAAGAGAGAGAAAGAAAGGCCGAAATCACCAGGCAGGGGTGCGCACCACGCAGGGGTCTCTTCCCCCGAAGCCACGCAAAAGAAAGGACAAAGAAACAAAGAGGGAGAGTCGTGCCTTCAAGGTGTATCAATTCTTGTCAAGAGGACGCAGGGTAAGATCAGTAAGATAGCCCCCAAGACCCTCCCCTTGATTGATGTGAGGTCCAACAAGTGGGAGAACTGGACGAAGAAGTGCCTCGGTGGCATCTAAAGGACACACGTAGACACACGGCAATGTCAGCAGGGAAATCCAGGCTAAGCGTATATAAATGGCAGATGCATCAGTCAGCTCCAACAAGTTCCGTTGCGGAAGGGGCCTGCGCATCTTGTTTACATGACAGATACAAGTGATGTTCCTCCTCCTGCAACTGGCAACCCATCGACAGTTCAGAAGCTGAAGCAACCTGCCCTTGCCACAATCATGCACCGAATCATCTACCTCTGCCACCACCCCACAAACCCAAAGCTTGACAGAATTCGCTTCATCATTCATTTTCCCCCTACCTACACAAGCACGTGCTGCCAGAATCACCGGCTTCGACATTCCGAAGGAAGCTTTGGTGGGACACCCGAGAACCGGCTTTGGTGCATGTGGGTTCACTTTTCGCATGAGATCGACGTGTTTGAGGCATGAGCCAGGCTCCAATTGTATGTGTATACTATATATACATATATATATGTGTATATATATATATAGATGAATAGATAGCTATCTCTCTCTCTCTATATATATATATATGTATGTGGAACTCGACCTCAAGACCTCATGGCTGCCCATAACTTCGAAAGACCTTCGTGGCCAGCCCCCTCAGTACCCTAGCGCGTCAGGACACTTCGGCCAAAGACCCCAAAGTGGCTTCAACCCTAAGCCCTACTTCCGAAGAACTCATTGTCGACGGACCCCAAGGCACACCAGCTGATGATTCCAACAACAGACACTGTTCGCAGCGCTTTCCTCTTGCAGTCTCTGGTCGGGGACCCAAGATGTCGGAATTCAGAGGGAGTAAGCAGCGCTTAAGATTTTAGGGAATCAGAGGGCAAACCTGCGAAGCATTGCGGAGCTCTGTTGCGGTAAGCTGCACAAGGTGGCTTCTGAGTACCACGTCCTGTACTCTGGCCTGACGGGCACGGGCAAGACTGCCAACCCGACATGTTTGATTTGTTTTTTTCAATCAGGCAGGTCGAAGAACGCACTGACCTCAAACTCAAAGCATATGACACGACGTGGTCTGTTTCTGCATGCGCAGTTTGCAGCTCAGCAGACACGGCAAGCCCAGAAGCACCTGGAAGTAACCATGTCCAACAGAGTCCAGCGCCAGGTTGTCATTCAGCAAGAACTGCTGAAACGTGTCTTGGACTGGTTCGTTTATGAGCCGTTCACTGGGACCATAGGACGAAGCTGAATGGGCCGTGAGCGAAGCTTGGCAAGCCCGAGCCCTTCAGGCTTAGGGGGTTAATAAAAAGCTGTGGGGGGTTAGCGTGCTGATCTCTTAGGTTTCGACAAAGAGAAGTACTCGGTGCGGGCCTCAGGATGTGTCAGGGCCAGTGACTCCTGTGAATTAGCAGGTGCATCCGAGGTCAACCTTCCATGGACAAGTCATAGGGGCGGGGCTACTTGTGCTACGAATCAAAGAAAGCTTCCAGCCACCTTGCGGGCCTAGCCCACGCCTATAAGTGCTCAGCGACTAGTGACTGAGGTGATCTCCTTCGCTTTCAGTGCACAAACCAACGCCAACCAGACGCAGGAGTAAAGAGTCTGCACGCGTGCTGTCATTGCACCTGCCCGCCCAAGATCAGCTCCACTTGCTCTTGGACAGGACATCATTGATGGCAAGCTGGACAAGCGGAAGAAGGGCACATACGGTCCTCCCTTCGGCAAGAAGCTGATGGCTCAGACCTGCACATTACCTTGCAAAACAGGTCAAGTTGTGGTGGGCCGGGGTCTTCAAAATCGCCCGGTTTGCAAAATGGAAGCTGTTGATGTTTAGTTTAGACCATCTACTGTAGCTTGCCGGGAGGCTTACACTCACCAAGTCTACAAGCATGGGTTCAAGGCTCCAGCCAGGAACATGAGAAGTAAGAACAGCATGGTCCCCCGAGGTGCTTGCTTTTCATCGATGACTTGAACATGCCGGCCAAGGCCCATGGGTTCAGGGCTTCCGGCTCGTGGGACGTCGGCTTTGACGGTCCAGTGGTGTGGCGAGCGAGTGGTTCAGGATTTCAAAGTTCGTGTACAATCACCTCACAAACACAGATATAACCCTAAACAAGCTTCATATACTAGGCCTTCAAGCGCCGAGGAGAAGTATGGGGCCCAGCCACCGATCGAGCTGCTGCGCCAGTGGATGGTCCCAGCCTCAGGATGATTGGAGCCACGTCTGATGGGATCTCATCGTGTTCACGTTGAGGTTTTTGAGGTCCATGTGTTGCTTATACGGTTGCCTCCTCACCTAGAGCAATGACTGGCGGTCCTCTTGTCCCGGCCCGTCAAACGTCCCGCTGGGCGTCCCACGCAATCGGCTGTGCTGTAAAAGTCACAGCCACACGGGCTCACTGTTGCAGTCTTGGTTTGGGGAACTTGGGGTCACGCAGGTCCTGAGAACAAGAATTGGTTGTGAAACACTGAAGCTTTGACCGTGCAAGTACTGCCTGCTCTCCACCGGGGCTCGTGGATTTACACTACCAGTCAAAGATACCAGGTGCCGAAATTTTGTAGCTCCTGTGACAGATGTAGCTTCTGGTGTGGCTTTAGCTTGTCCTTGTTCGTCCTCTCCATACCCCTAAAGGGCCAATCGTTTGCAGCTACAGCTAGTGGGCCCTGTCCTACGCCGGTTCAGGTCATGTCGGGTTTTGGCAGCATGTGGTTACTGGTCATGCTCGAGGCTTCCAGTATCCGGATCAGTTCACAACCTAAGCCGCCCCAGGACACTGGAGGCTGGTATGCGCCAACCTCAGTCTCGGCACCCATTTGTCCCTGATTGTGTCGGGGGATCGTATATAAGGAGCTGGATTATGGTGAAGTGTAGAGTGGTCACGGACACAACGATGTCAAAAGTGTTTGCTTTCGGGGTAAGGCGTCGAAAGTTTTAGCAGCTGGGATTGCGGATTTTGGCGAACACAAGACTAAGCGCCGCCTTTGGGCTTCCATATCTATACCGGTGTCTCGGCCAGAGCGAACGGAATTCCTTCCGTCCCTGCCGAGCCAGATGCCGACCCTAATCCGTGCCTGTGGAGCAGTCAAGGTTTGGGTGTTGAAAGCCGATCCTACAATCCTTGACCCGCTAACTCCTCAATAAACAACTCCCCAAGCCCCACCGATAGTTGAATTGGACACCCAGGAGAGGAAGACTGCGGAGTTCCGCAATCTTGTGGACCTGCCCGAGCCACAAGGGGGCCTTGTGTGCAACTGAGGGTGGGGAAGATGGGGCAAGTTCGGCTTGTTGGGGCTTCGATCAGTGTTTGGACCTTTGGGCGATGGAGGCCCAGAGGGACATGCGGGATCCCTCCGAGGGTTCGGAGAAGCTTCGTGCTGCAGCAGCCGGCAACGAGATGCCCAGAATACGAAGAAGGTTCCTGCCAGAAGCCCCCCAAAGCCCCCAGACATTGTGCCCGTAATCACGGACTGCGCACGCACACATCACGCACACATCACGCACACGCACCTCCAGTCCGAAGCCCCACAGACCCCGGAACAAGAACCCCAGAAGTCCTCCGGGCCCATATTTCAGCAGCAGCAACAACAACAATACACAAAAGCAATAGTACTGATACGAAGAATAGTAAACAAGGGTACAAAGGTGACAAGTGATACCGAGAATCGTCACATCGATATCACTGCAGAGCGCTCGAGGATTTTCATCGGCGCGATGGGACCACCAGGTGCCGGGCGGCTGGGAGCCTCAGAGACATCGTTCATGCACATTAGTATTTGTGTGTTTATCGGTTGTCGTTCGTTAGTTCCAAAGAGTGCTCTTGCTGCTTCAGGGGTTCAAGGGCCTCGGAAACCCAGAACGAAAAGCTTCCAGCACACAGCCAGAAGCCCTCACCGACCAGCTCTGAACCTTTTTTCACTCACAGGGTGATTGATGTGAACAAAACAAGAAAGCGCAGCAAAACATCAGAAGAACATACAAGTATACAAAGCACAGACAGCCACATGTTGCCCCAATGCTGCAACTAGCTTTGGGCGTGAACCTGCATCACTAGTCTAGGAACTTGGTCTTTGGTTTCTGCGTGGGGAGTGCGGGCTGTAACACTTTTGCAGTCGGATTTTCCCCCCTTATAGTATCCGTCTTCAATGCTGAGCGGATATCGTCAGGACGGACTACAATTACCATTGTTACCCAGTGGGGCAAATGCTAGGGTTGCGACCCGCATGATTTCTCTGTAGCAGTATGGCATTGCTGCGCAGAGCTTTGACGAAGCCCCAGCCGCAAGCAGGCCTTTCCTCACCGGCCGATTTCAACGGCATTTCAACCTCGTCTTCGTTGCGAGCTAAGCTTTGAGACTGTTGAGTGGACCAGTTCCCCGGGGCCCTGCTTCAAGACTCTGCAATCCTGCCCAGCAGGTGATCCCGGAACACATAATTTAAGGCTTCGTTTGATCCTGTCTTGAACGAGAATCATGGAACTCCCAGGTCACGCCCTTCGAGCAAGAAAGTCTGCAAAGGAGCACGTTTTCTGCGCAGTCGCGGGGCGAGGGGGGGGGGGGTGGGGGGGTCGGTTCGGTTTCTGATTGCAAGGTCTGGGATGCCAAGGCCGGCCAAGGCTCTTGTGGCCCGACCCTTTGTCACACTGCGTAGTTAGTGCTGGAAAGTTTGTAATAGTAAGAGCAGAGTTCCATGACGAACCGTCGTGCCCTTTTAGGACTTCGCGGCTGAACTGCTGTGACTGTTGGCCCCACCCTGGTGCCTGCCCCCGCACCAGTCTCCCAAAAGCCCCAGAAGCCCTTGAAAGCAGGATCTTCCAAACCATCATGCAGTGGTTCCTGGGGCGTTTCCCAGGGGCAGTGGCAGGCGTGGCCGGTGCAGCCGGGGCCTTGGGAGAGCCTTGGGGTGGAACTGTCCGATGGTGCACTGGGTTGCTGCAGTTGGAACTCTATAACCTGTCTGCAGCATTGTGCTCAGCATTATCGGGTAATTTTCGGGTCTTTGTGGGTTGCAGCAGATGTGAGACATAGACTTTCAGGGTTCAGAGCCAGTGTTGGCTTGCGCTGTATCACGGGGTCTCGCTTCTCATTGCAGGACTGGGCCTCCGAACCGGGTATTTAACATATGTATGTATGTGAATGTGGTAACGTTGGTAGCCTTCATCCCCCCCAAAAAATCCATGTGCTGAGAAGATTTCCAGCCATCTACAACATCTGCTGCAATCTTAAGCATCTTGAGCGTCTATCCATCGCAGATCAATGAATCCTGATATTCAATAGCACGCTTCGAGAATCCAAGAAAACTCTTTGGCCAGCCTTCGGTTTCAATCCCCCATCTTGAAAGTTCAAGACAGTCAAAATGAAAATTTCTGATGTCCCCAGGGTTGTCTTGGACAATCATCGGTTTCCTGTCTTGAAACTCAAGGCGCTCACGACAGGAAATCTAGGACATAGCTCAAGACTTTCCCGGGACTGCTCCTACCCACATCGATAATATGTGAGTGAAACTGCCAAAAGCCATGGGTAGCATGGATATTGATCTGCAATGCGAAACACAGTTCACACCCGGGTGTCCACATCATGACCACATACCAGAGGCAGAGCGAAGGGGAGGGAAACCGACTCCTCGCAAACTCCTTAACACGCAGCCTCAGCTGTATACCCGATCCCAAGCCACACGACATTGACGGGATTCCTTATGCCTTATAGACGCGGGTAAGATGGGCCCGTAGTAGGTGGAAGGGACTCACCAGGTTGTTCCGCTCCGGGCTGCGGCCATTTAAGGTCGAGGTGTGTTAGTTACATGTGGGCTCTTGGCCTCACAGATTTGTTGTCGTCTCGACCTGTTTGCTATACAGGTGGTGAAGTCAACGATCCAGCTCTACGAGGACACTGCGTGTGGCAGACGCTCTCCTTGGGTGCTTTGTATTCGAAGGCGCGCAAGACATGCTCGTGTAATGCTTGGATCCGCTGCTTGTAGGACATGTCAGCCGCGATGCTTCCCACTCCGGCAAAGAGATTGGGCCTCGGTGGTCACATGCTGTGCTGTGATATCTTATGACCTCCTCTGCGGATGGCTCTTGGACTGGGATTTGCAGGTTGGGTTGTGGGGTTCAGGCGGTACTTGTATTCACATGTTTAAGTATGGATTGCACCTGAACGGCTATCGGATCTTCCCACGGTCGTCGTTTTTCGGACACACCGGCAGCAAGCAAACCTTCTGGAGATCAGATCGGCCTTTTTTTAAGATGCAAGCCTGCCAAGACTGTACATTTGTGGGAGCCAGGCCACTACACGTTCAATCTGCGCGATCTGGCCAAGGCGCGAATTTAGTTTGGGCCAGGGCTTGGATTCAGCACTCAGGCTTCCCCGACAACCTTGCTAACCCTAGCCCTCGAAGCATTTTGCCCGGCCTGCTTCTACAGAGGAAGTGAGTGAGGAGTATTTCCAACATCGAAGGCCAGAAAAGAACCCCAAACGCAATCCTAGCGAGGTGAGTGGCCATAGACCACGATACCCGCATCTTCCAAGCCCAAGCCAGGCCTCTAGAAAGTTTGCCTCAGTGTAACCCAGGCTTCTTTGATCAGCACTCTTGTGTCCTCTACAGCCTTTCAAACCCGGTCCTCTTAAACACTGACCCAGGTCCATCTCGGCATCTGCCGATGCCAAAAGAAGTCAATGGAGTCGGCGGATGATTTGGCGAGGCGAGTGGACGGGTTGAGGAGTTGAGGGTTTGGGGGTGAGGTACGAGGCTTCATAGGATGGCAGGCAAATGCACGCACGTCCTACTCGCATTTTCAGGATATCCGCCTTCGACTTCACAGTGCTCAGCTCTCAACCGCCTAGCAAACCCCTACAACCCCAAGCCCGTCAACTCACACGGTCCCACACCCAAACTTCCAGAGGATTCAAGCCCCCAGCTCTCTTCACACACCGGGCATAGCAGACACCTTGTCATCACCGGTCAGCGCTCAAGGCTCTATGGCAGCCAATTTGAATGCTGAATATATAGCTTTACAGATCCTGACTTGTTTCTTCATGGGTGTTGGCTCAGGGTCTACCCCTGACCTGTTGCAGCCACGCTGCTCTTGGCAGGTGCTGGGCACATGAAGCGCACCGTGTGTTCTATGACCGCCTGGTGACGAAAGATGATCAGCTCCTGGGCTGCAGGGTTGGCTTACAGCTTGGTTGGTAGTAGGGAGCTCCGGCAGGCTGAGCGAACTTGCGGTGTAGGGCTTGTAAGGTTTTTGGGTTTAGGTCGCGTTGAGGGTGTCGATTGCCCAGCAAGCTAGAATCGCTGGAGGGCCTCTGGTCCAGGGAAAGCTATAGAGGCCCCCCCATTACCCGCAATGAGGCGAAGTTCGTGGCCAGGGCGGGGGGCCGGGAAGCCAAAAAACACAAATAGTTCTAAGAAACTCCGGAGTTTTCTGGTGTCCGGCTTTATTTACATTCCTGCTGAAATTTCATTACGAAACAGGCCTCCAAACAATTTTCCAAGGGAGTAGCCCACGAGCTGCCCTGATTCGCTTTAAACAAGTGTTTCGGTTACCCGCATGAGTCCGCAGCCCCCCCGGCCAGGGAGCCCCAAAGCCCGGAAAGCCTAGACCCTCAAGCCTCAAGGCTTCCCCTCGATCCTCGACCCCAACCCAGTTTCTGCGAAAACCCCAAAATTGTTTTTTTTTTTTTTTTGGGGGGGGGGGGGGGGGGGGGAGGGGACCCCTGGACACTAAAGCGAGTCCAACATTACTTTTCGATGTGTTTATTTCATCATCACGCCGAAAAACTTCTTGTTTGTTGCGTTTTCTCTTGGGAGGGCGGGCCGGGCTGCCTGGAAATCGTCGGTCTTTGCGGCCTTTTCGGCCTTTTTCGCGCAAAATCATCAGTACGTTCAGCAGTTTCTTGGTCCTCATCTTTGCATGCCCGGTCTTCCGGCGTGATCGAAAAAAGCGAAGCTTCCAGCCACTCTTGTGCCAAGCACTCTGGGCCAATTGAAGTGCAAAGAACACTGCAAAGGCAGCGTGACGAAAAAACAAACTTTTCCAAGATAATCCTGTTGCCAAAGCCCAACATTTTTTGTTACATTCAACAAACGTTCCACGGCGGCGAAGCGGAGATGATGAGCTATCCACCCCCTCCACCCCGCCCCCAACAACAACAGTTCCTTTTGGCTTCCGCCGAAGCTCTACTGCTACTGCCACCTTGCCGCCGTTGCTTTACCTGTCTACCGCTACCACCCCTCTGCCCACTTCCTCCCTCACCCTCTCAATTCTTCTATGTGTGTTCCTGAAACCCACCGAGCTCTGGCTTCTGAAGCTTGGGAGTTGTGGCGCAGATCAGAGTGCGCAAACCTGCGAAAGGGGGGCGCGTCATGAGACATATCGGAATGCCAATTTGTTGTACCTACTTGTAGTGGTAGTGTTCGAGCTGCTTTCAAGCTCGTCAATCTCCCATCCTGCCCCTTTGGGCCAGGGAGTGGTTCCGAGAGAAGATCAGCGACATCCTCAAGGAGCGACATCACACCATGTCATGCACTTCGAAGCCAGGCTAAGCTGCTTGTAGAATCATCTGCGTGAAGTTGCAGGCTGTGCTTTCCGGTTCATGTTGCCGTGCTCTTCTCCTGGCCAGGAGAACTTCAAGAAGGACTGGAAGAGCCTGGTCAAGGCAGCCACATTCTCCATAAATGAATACATCAATAAATACATAAATAAATAAATATATTTCTATATAATATGTATATATAGTATACAGTACGCACGCATGTGATCACATGTTATCTGCGTGCGTGTGTGTATCTACATGTTGACTTACGTTCCTTTGATCCTTTTTGCAGAATGGTTAGTGCCCGATTCTGATTGGATCCCGAGCAAAGACCTGAGCGAAGACCGAAACACGTCGAACCCCTGGCGGGCTTGCACATGGTATGAATCCCTTAGTGAGGTTCAAGTCAGTTTCAGTTAGGTTTTCGCTGGTTCAAATCGGAGTTGTCGTCCGGATTATTTGATATGTACGTGTATATGCATATATATATATAAATATAAATAAATAAATAAATATATATATATATATATGCCTGAAGTTCCCATTGAGTGCCTCTCAATGTTGTTCTCCTTTTGTTCAAGTGTAATAATATGGGGGTGTTCAAGTGTAATCCGAGGATCCAATTTAACAAAGCCCCCGGGATTAAAAGGAATCATATTTGGTCCCAACCCAGAAGAGGAGTCCCATTGCGGCAGCCGATTTTCCAAAAACGCGCCGGAAATCCGAATCGCGAAAGGAAGAGAATGATTTGGGAGCCCAAAGCAAGCGTAACAATAAGTTAGGGGCTCTGGGGTTTGTCATTGTCGGGGGTTCGAGTTGCGCAGCTATACCAAGTTGCAGAACTGCACAGCCGCGAAGCAATCTTTGCTACGTTGACAACCTGAACGTCTTTCTCGGTTCCACATGAGCATGTCCTACAAAAACGGGTTCCCTTTGGAGAGAAATGTGGTTTTTTCGAAAAAGCCACAGCCCCCAGCACCCTACCAAAACGAGCTCGATGCTCCAAAGTCGCTAGGACTAAGTTTCCCCCCCTCCCCCTGCGATGAAAGGTGGAGCCATTGATCTGGTGCGACTTCATCGATCCTCGGGTGGGGGACTGCAGCTTGTGCACCTCCAGCCCCCTTCCAAACTCTAGTCCGGTTGCCAAATCCTCCTCGACAATAAAGAAAATTGACTCGAAGCCTCTAAAGATTTGAAGTAGATACCCGCAATCAAGATAGGCCCCCCCCCCCCCCCCAAATCTTCCGAACCCTCAGCTGGCCTGTCCTTGGAGAGCAGCAGCTACCTTGTTGAGTTTGTTCCGCGCTTGAGCAATCCACATGGCTTTGGGGGATTTTGGGTGCTAGAGGTGCCAGAGGTTCGGGGGTTGTGGGAGTTCGGGCTTCTCCAAATTCCACTTTAAAGACCAAGACCCCCCGAAACCCGAAACCTACAGGTCCTACTTTACAACCGTACAACCCTGGCAGATGTCGGCCTCATATCAGCTTCCTCAACTCTGAACCCAAAACAGGGGGGTTCGGGCGGCTTCTGGACCGGCTGGAATGTTTGCGGGTCTTAGGTTTCGGAAGAGCAGTCTACATAGCTGTAAAGTGTTGAGGCTTGGCAGTGCTTATGAAGCCCTTGTCCCAAAACGTGGAAACTAAGAACATGAGCAGTACTTCTCCTGAACAACATCTAGAACGCCTTACATAGCTGCCCTAAACTTCGCAGAATCCCCCTCTGGGCATCGATATTTGGATGAGGCGAGCCACTACCAGCAAGTTGAGGATCCGCCCAAGCTGGTGGAGGCTGCTTAAGGGTTTAGGGTGGAGTCTTTGGGGTCGGGTTTAAGTGTCGGAAAATGGGTTATAAAGGGGTCCTGCAAGTACAGGATTTACAGGACTATCTGTTTCTTGGGCTTGCAGAGCGAGAACGGCCGGTGAAGGTGAGAGTTGCCAGCACAAGCCGACATGTAGCATCTTCTAGTGTCAGAAATGGGAATGCTTCTTTGATTGTAAGCGGATGTGTTGGAGTGAACTGGTGGTTAGGAGTGGAATTCTCTTGAGCAGCAGGTGCTGGACAATTTCCTCGTGGAGTACAACACAATGGTCGGGCTCCGAGGGCGACTGCCTGCTTCCAGCAGCGATTCCAATAATATGTGGGATGCCATAGCGAGGCCGTCAGGTTCTCGCAGTTCTGGGCCAGCCATGTGGGCCAGAGTTGTTGCCAGAGATGTAAGCGCCACCAAGGCAAGCATTCTCTAGCCTATCCAGTGGGCAGTCAGAGCTCGGGTTGCACACCCAACACAAGAGGTTGAAGTCTTTGCATGCGAGCTGAGGCCAAGAGGGGCATGGATTTGGTGCTTTTCATGGCTGCGGCCCAGCACCGCGGCCATATGTTACTTCGGACAAAGCTGCACACAACCAAGAAAAAAGATTTCGAGCTGCTCACGTGCCATGTTCAAGCTGGGGCGACAACTATAAATCCTCGTCCATTTGCCACCCTGATTCCCTGAAGTCATGTTTCACAAGAACGAACTCAAAACGGTTGCTTCTGGTGGGAGACTCTGGGCATACTGAAGTTGGAGCACTGCGCGCTTCTAAGCCCCCCCCCCCCAGGGCTTTTACGTTTTGAGTCTTATGGGCTTCTAGGGCGTTTAAGTAGGGTGTTTAGGGCTAAGGGCTCCTTAATGTCTTTTGCACACGATCCAACCAAGGCATGTCAGCCAAGTGGCCTGGAGCTCAAGACATGCAACATACGGGGGACCCGCACACCAGATCCATTATTCCATGAGGTGAACTGTGCGTATGTCTTGCGTGTTTGCAGTGAGGCCACCGAGCGACTCTGTGTCTCTGTGTCTCTGCGTCTCTGCGTCTCTGCGTCTCTGCGTCTCTGTGTCTCTGGTGTGTGTGTGCGTGTGTGTGTGTCTCTGGTGTGTGTGTGTGTGTGTGTCTGTGTGTGTGGGTGGGTGGGTGGGTGGGTGGGTGGCTGTGCGTCTGCGTCTGTGTCTGTGTCTGAATCTGTGCGTGCGTACAGGCTGCAGAGACGCCTCCACGCTTGCTGTGCAAGCAGAGGGCCTCTTAGGATTTTTGTTTAAGGGCTAAGAACTACCTTGCCGACATGCTGCCAACCATGTCAGCATCTATCGCGTTCTCCCTGTAGGAAGCGTTCTCAGCAAGTCTTACTAGCATGAATAAACTTATCGACCCATTCGGCTGGTTGTCGTTGAGGTTCGCGTTCTGAAGACTCCGCTTGGAAACGCCTTGCTGGTGGTGCTGGCTTGTGGCCAAGCCAAGCTGAAGCAGAGGTTCCAAGGAACTGCATGCGTACTGCAGAACCAATCATGGTGCCTTTGTGTTGCTTTTCTCACAACGGCAAACAGCCAAGGGCCATTGAGCTTTACTTGCTTTTGCAGGTCCCACAGTAGATGCCCGTGCTCCGAACCTGCTGTTGAAATGCGACCCATCATGTGCCAGGTAGGTGTCGGAGGATCTGGCAGGAAAAGCCTTGCAACGCTTGCTGCGTTCGTTGCCGAGCAGGAGGGCCCTCTTTGGAAAGCGTCAGGGCGCATGGGATTTGCAACGCTGAAGCTTTGGGTTTCTACTTCTTCTACCCTGAGATCGGCACTGAAACGTCTTGGTCAAGCAGTGTAGTTCCAAACGCAGCGCGTCGATCGCCTCGGCCCTGTATGGGATTTGGGAGGCCGAGAGACCCAATGGTCGCAGAGTGCCCAGGACTACGTACATCCCTGATGTTCTCCATGCCAAATGTGGCAGGGAGATCAACTCGGATTTGTTTTGCTCTTTTGTTTGCCGATACCAACTCGATGTGGAGGAAGAAGACTTCACAGAAAAGCTTGGCTGCCATTTGTTAGACTTTCCGTAGCTTCGCCTGCAAAACTGCCTGCGGTCCCGAAGGTTCCGCAGAGGTTTCCCAAGCGGGGTCCTCCGAAGGTCTCCCAAGGCAATCTCTAGGATGCGCGTGTCTATCAGGCATTCCGGGAGGGCATCGAGGATCCTTTTTCTCCATTCAATAGTTTCCAAACATTGGGAAAGGGAGGGGGGGGGGGAGAACTTTAGCCAATTTGCGACACTAACACCTGGGGATGGAAGTAGAAGTGGGGAAGCAGGGGGTACCTCTGACGTCCACGGTGCCGAGGCAACATAGGCTCTTCGGGCGGGGGCGAACGAACGATCTTCTTTGTCAGGGATGGTAGTGTTTATAGGGTAAGTGCATGCAGTCAGCATGAACCTGGAGCAGACGCTTGACGATGCAAAAGTTCCACAGTTCTACTTGCGAATGCTGAGTGTTTTTCGCCCGCTTTTGATGAATGATAAAGTGGAGGGCACATCATGTTTCGCGTGCGCGGTGCATTTTGCAGCCAGTAGTGTGTTGTGTTGTCGCCTTGCGTCGCCCTCACTTTCCTACGGTATCCGGGCAGTATACCCATATATATATATACATATATATATAATTTATGTATATGTATATATGTATATATATATATATGTACGTAATGAGAATGCTATGCGCTGCACCCAAACCGCGCGCATTTTCGCAGGAGACTTTCCAGATCGAAATCACCAAGAGCTATGGCATGAACGTGCCGGCCTCAGTCAGTCCAAGACTGAAACTTCAGAGCTGCACACATGCTCTCCACGTGCAGGTTTTTGAATGCGCCAAGCGTTTGTCTTGCAATTAAGACTTGGAACTTGTTTGGCAAAAGACATCTCACCAAGGCTTGTTTTATCCCAGTTATGATTGAAAGAAAGCGTTTATGGCAACAGATCAGGCTCCGGAAACGATTTGAAACGTCAGTCCCTGGCTCCTAAACATTCGCAAACCTCCAATCCTCAACCCAGACCCTGAGGTCCTTTCGAATCCTGAGCTTTGCGGAAAATCGCTCCAAGTGTATATCCAGATGGCCTGAGATCCCAAACCCGCAAGGCATCGCGGTTAGCGGCTGGGGCCAGAGCTGTAGGATGTTTACGAGAACAGGAAAATTACGAAGTCTGTTGCAAGAAGGCTTGATCCTCGCCGCTCGCCGCGGACCTGCCAGGACTGGCACGAAGACATCAAGCGTTTGCTCATTCGCTGCGGAGGTCAGATGAAGGAGGCCGGGATTCACATGCTGCGCCGCTTGCAATTCAGGCGAGTGACGAACTGGTGTGGCTTCATTTACAGGGCTCTTGGTTCGTTGAATCATATCTGGAGCCGATAGGTTCGACACCATATGGGTCAGAAACTGTGAGAACACATGTGTTGGGATTTCCTTCTTGCCTACGGAAGTCATACAGCCACCACAAGAAAGCTTGAGGCTGAAACAGGCTGTGCTTGTCCACTTTGGCTCAGACTATATCCGAGGGCGGAGTAGTGCATAGGTCAGAAAGCCTGCCGGGCTTGCCTCGATGGAGGGCCGCGATCAGGCATTCCTGCTCACCTGCGCCATGTTGCACCTTTTCCTTTGAGTCGGGGTGTCGGAAGCTTGAACCCATGCCGAACCCCTCCACCCAGCCGAAATCCGACATGGAGAGCCCCCCCAAGAGTATGTTGATAAAGCAGGTGAAGGCAAGGTGCAGTAGGGTTCGGGATCTACGAGTTTGGGCTTATCAATCAGGGCGAGCGCTAGGTTGTTGGTAGAGATTCCTAGCCTTCCCTCCGCTGGGGCGATCAGGCGCAAGGGATGCAGGTTAAAAGGGTGCACAAGTCTATCGATTGCGGGGTTGCCCTAAATCCCTTTTGCCTGCCGAGAAGCATGTGGTGGCTATACCAATACCAGTAGGTGAGATTTGTGCAATCTTGAAACTGTCGCGTCAGGATGTCCGCAAACACTTAGTTAAGCCCCAGGCAACTCTTGCTGGCCTTCGAGATCCTGTGCTTTGCGGCCGCGCATCGCAAAGAGATCCTCGAGGCTGGGTAGCAGTAGGCGGGCAAAGACAAGCTTATTGTAGCTTATGTTTGACAAAGCAGCCGCACTGATGTGCCATGGCGCAGATCGGGCACTGAGATATGAGGACGGACGCTGAACGTGTGATAAACTCATGTTTCTCTCTGCTTGCACATGGCTGGACTGGCGTTTTTATGTGCTAGGACAGCCTCGCTAATTGGCCTCTATTCAGGCTGTGAAACAGTCGCCTTCGGCTAGAAGCTAGACTCTTGGAGAAGACGCCTCGTGGGAAGACGCATGGAATGCATTCCATGCCCCATGGAGGTCATCCGCGGGGCGCTTCAGCACCTGGGCTGCTTCAGCACGTGGCTCCGGCCTTTCGAGGACGCCTGTGAAAGTTTGACTACAGAGTCATCGTTGTGCTATGAAGATGGGTTCGCCCTTCCAACCTGAAACCGGATCGATCATCTGTCCACTGCATCCTTGGACGTTCAGGGCCGAAGCACGGAGGGTTTAAGATGTTCTTATAAGATGTTCTTATAAGCTTCTAAACGATGAGGAGTCTGCCCCGCATCGCCCTCCCCCTCGTCCTTCTTTGATCCCGTTTCTTCGCCGTTTTACACGTGATCACTCATTCATCACAACACAAATCAGATTCGCTTTTTTGGAGTGTGTGGGGAGGGGGGGGGAACTCCTTGTAGTTTTCCTTTTCTGGGAACACATCACTCATACATCCAAGAAGAAGCCTCAGTCAAGAGAAGAGGGCACCCCTAGACGTGATGCATTGTACAGTATGCCAAGCATCCGAGATTGTAAATTACAGCTCCGGCAACCAGCGAAGAAGTAATCCAGTATCTCCGGCCTCCTGACAACTTCACCTTCTAAAGTGAATGGTCTGTTATGAAGCATCCGAGCAACTGCAAATGTGGTACCATTGCAAGGAACACAAAAACGGAACAGCAAACGTGTAAGAACTACTGTAGCTTTTGCGCCTGCGATCTTGCACGCCATCCCAACAAGGCCGTTCAAGGGTCATAATGCCAATAGCGAGTGATGTCGTGAGGATGACTCGATGGTCGCGATTGAGGTGATCGCCATGCGTGTTCGAATGGTGAAAGTGATGGGCTGAGATCGGGCACTGTCTTTAGATCAAGACAGCCAGTAGTGACAGATCGGTGGCAGGGCCCAGCTTTCCTTGCCAGAGAATGGTGTGATCAGCAACTGTGCAGCTGGTAGGCTGGTAGGAGCTTTGCAGCAGGCTGAACTCATTTTGCCTTTGTGTCAACAGCACGGGCCTCCACAAGCACCGTGACCAATCGATCAAAAGCCTGACTGCCCTCTCCTCCCACAGAGCAGAGCTCAGGTCTACTTCAGCGTGCTGGCGGCTTCAATGTGCAGCATGTTGGCTGTGCTTCAACAACGATTGCGGCCGCCCAGCCGAGCATGGAATTTCATTTCTCCAAGCCACAGGGTACAAACGGTATCGGAAACATAGTCATATAACTGTCATATATGATCAGACATGATGTGATGGACGCCCAGACCAGGACGGGCGGCTTTGCGGGAACAGAGTTCTGGCGATGGTCCTTGGTGGCGTTTCTTGTGGCCTCGCTTGCTTTCTTCATCAGTTCAAGACTTCGCCGAGCTAGGGCTTTCAATTCTTGGTACGTGGCGTTGATGACGCTTTGTGCCACTATGCTTCTCTACCATGCAGCCAGCCCCGAGGCAGGAGACTGCACCCATTGGAGACATCGGCTAACCTGTGCTAATCCTTTCTACTTAAGGTGCTGTGTACATCTACCCTTGCCAGAGGCACCAAACTCTAGATGTGTGTTAAATTATCTGAACTGATCTGGAACAGCTTGCGTTCCCCTTTCCCCCTGAGGATCAGCAAGTATGGCCGTTGACACAGATTTCCGCTCAGATGTCGGTCTTTTGCCGCATCCCTGCTGTTTGCCTCACCAACCGCGTTTGCCTGGTCGCAGTCTGCAATGCTATTCTCGTCGTGATGGTCGCCTTGTTCTCGCCGCTGGAAGGTCTTGGAATGGAGAGTGCCGGCGCCCTGGGTGCTGTGATAGCTGCTGTGGCATTGCAGGTGCTGCTCAATGGATCCGCAAGACGGAAAGTTAGCCATAAGACCACCACCAGCGACCTCCAAGCTTCCCGGGCATTGCTGCATCTCATCTGCGATGCTGTAATTGAGCTCGACGAGTCGTTGCGGCTGTCGCAACACTCCCCAGAGTTGGCTGCAATCTTGCTAAGGGACTCCAGTCCATGCAACAGGAGTCTTGAAGGCAAGCGATTCAGAGATTTTCTGGCGACGCCTGAAGAGGCTGCTCGAGCACAAGAGCAACTCCTGGCGCGATTGAAGCCTGCGGCAGCGCAGGCGGCAGCAGCCTTCCACACGCGCTTGGTTGATGCCGACAACGGCAAACTCCCGACTGAGGTCTTTCATGTGACATACTCGAAAGCAGATGGCAGCACCTCACACCTCTTGGGCCTCCGGGACTTCACGGATCAGGTGTCCCTGGCCCCTCCGGCATCTCTGGGGGCTCCTGTTTTGGAGAACGTCTCAGGCTCAAGCGCTTTGAATCTCGAAGCCCGTACCTCATCGAAAAGTCTGCAGCCAGATGCTCCGAGCCCTCCGAGCATCGTCTCTTTGCAGATTGATCTGGCTGAGAAGGTCGTGGAGGCTGCTTCCCTCTCCGCTCCGGACTTGGTGGGCTTCTGGGATCTTAGACTCAGTCTTCGAGTTTTGTAATAAATGTACCAATGTCTAGGTCAGTTTTGTTGCCTGATGACGCTCAGGCATGCCTGTGCTCAGTCTCCTCCCCTCTCTGGGACCGGAGCTGCTTCGCAAAGCTTGTGGGGCTGTGGATGGAGGTGCTGCCAGAACCTTTAGCTTCCGCAACGTCGTGGTACAGTGGGGTCCAGAGCAGATGGACAACATCGATGGAACGGCCGAAATCTTGTGTACACAAGGAGTTCCGAGGCTGCTTCTGCGCTGTTCGGGCTCTTTTGTATCTGGCACGCTCTCCAACCCGGATACGGGGAAGATGCTACCTGTTCTTCCATCTGCTACAGACATTCTTGACTTGGCTTAATTGCTTAGCTCAAACTTGCATGCAGATGTTTCATGTAAATCCGAGTGAACAAACACTGACACACATTGGCCTCTGTTTTAAGAGGTTTTGTCCAAAATCCAGCCGCTTGTCTCGCGAAGTCTGCCTTTTTGGACAGCAGCGGAGCTGGTTTGGGCTGCGGCGAAGCCATGGGCGTGCCCGGAAATCCGGAGCCAAAAGGCGTAGCGCGCCCGTGCCCGCGTGATTCAGAATCTTCTTCTTTCCCTTTGTCTCTTCACGTTCGCGTGAGGGCTGTACGGTTGAGAAACCCACGACCTCACGCGGAGTCTTTCACAAGGCCAGCCAGGCATTTGTGCATGTGCACACGTGCCCAGCGAAGGCTGTTTTCAACAGCAGCTTCGAAGGCCGCTTCAAAGCCTGTTTCTCTAGCACGACGCCTGGCAGCCAGGCGCTAGTCAGCATGTCAGTCAGGAGGTCGACGCAGATGCTGCGGTGCATGCGTTGGGTGCAAAACTGTTCTCGACTTGTCACTGATACAGGCCAATTCGCCAAACAGTGTGTCAACAAGGGGTTCCAACGTCTAGAGTCAGAGGGCTAGGTCGACGGCTTTGATATCGAGGCCTGATTGCATTTTGGACGAGAGCCGTGCTCTCGCCTGTATAAGTGCAGGCGTGGCTGCGGGCCTGGCCACGCTCGCCCTCGAAACTGTCATCGTTTTGGACGTCTGGATGTGTGGGCTCGTGAAATGCGAAACTGTCGTCGCTCTTTGGTCTTCTGGGCTCACATGGTCGTTCACTGTTGGGGTTTATGCTGGCGTAAAATTTTGAGCATTGATGTCCTAAGCGAAGCTCTTAAACCTGCTACTGTAATATGTTCTAGAGTGTGAAGAGGGGCCCAAGAGCCCTGGCAAAAACACCCTCAAGCACAAACACCAATATGCGTCGCTTGAGCCAGTTCAGGGCTTTTGGGTTTGGTGCTGCAGGGTCTTTCTCTGCTTTCTCTCTTTAGACTCGCTACACCGGCTACGCCTTCCGCAAGAAAACCTTGCAGCAAACCCCATATCAAACCAGCCCACTGGAGGGCTTGCCTCCGACGCTTTGCATCTTCTGTTAGGGTGGAGCTCGAGCATGCAGGAAGTGGGGCCCATTTCGCACTTCGTCGGGATGTTTGCTTGCTATCGACCGTGGTGGGTTTGGAAAGGGCATGTCATGAAAGACACAGCAGCATGGCTTCCAAAAATGAAGGGCACACAATACATCTCTTAGCCCATAGACGGTGCAGGTGTGTTTCCTTCTTCCGGACACGCAGATTGCAAACGAGAACTTCGTCGAGGAGGCGGTTCGTAGCTTTCTCGTGGGCTCCGAATGGCCGCGACACAGCGGGATTCTTGAAAAAGTTTTCGCCACGCCCCCGACCCTCTAGCTTTCTAGACTCTGAACCCTCAAGACCTTGCCTACACCCTGTGGCCCGAAGTGCAATGTCCTTGAAAGGTGTCAGGCCTGCTCAACACGGGGGAAGTTCCAAACCTCTTCAATGCCGAGGACCACCAGGGAAGTGCGAGTTCTCTGCGGGTTCGGGTTTAGGGTTCAGGGTCCAGCCTTCGGGGGTTTAGACTCGCACGCCCCCCTAGGACAAGACGCAGATCCTGGAACTGTGCACCAATTTGGCTGCCAAAGAGGGGCGACATGGGCCCGCCGAGGCCCTCCTCTGGTTCAGGATGTCCCAGGGCTTGTTGCTGCAGGGCTTGTTGCTGCAGGGCTTGGGGATTTTGAGGGCTGAAGGGCCCTACGGTTTTTTCTCGTGGCTGTTGCCATGATGCGTCTTTCTGCTGCCGGAGGATATCTGATTTCTTGAGGCAGTTCACGGGTGATTCCAACTGCGGGAACAGCCGCTATATGCCTGCAATACAAGAAAGACCTTCTGCCAAACCTGCGACTCAGTGAAGGGAAAGCCTTAACGCAGTGAAAGCATTGCCGGACGGAGCGCAGGGTGGAGCGGAGCTGGGGTTTATTGACGGTGGTATTGAAGATCTTGGGGTGCGAAGTGTGCATCGCATGCAAGGTAATGGCGTTCTTCATCGAGCAGTGTATGAAGAACATGCACATTGTGCAAAGCCCAGTGTGGCCAGCAGCTCTTCACCCACCACCCGTCCAATGACAAATGAGACGGTAGTAAGCGAGGGCTCGGCGGCCAACCCATTTAGGTTTTAGGCTTATAGGTTAATCCTTCAAAAGATTCAAGGTTTACGGCCTAAAATTTAGGGTCCCAAGCACATGCAGTTGCAGCTCAGACCCGGATTTTTTCGTCAAAAGGCCAAAAAGAGGATGAGCCACGGAAAGGAGCATGGGGTGTAGGCAAGCTTGCTTCAAGAGTTTCACACACGGTGGAGGACAGGATGGAGGTCGGCACTGCGGTTAGCCTCGAAGGGATTGTTCGGTTTTCGCCCAGCGTGATACAGTCCAAAACCCTGTGGTAGTGAGATTGTGAGACTCCTGGATGGGTAGATGGGATTTATGGTGATCCATGTTAAGGTCTTAGCCTTCTCGCCCATTGGCGAGAACTTCCGCCGGCGAGCCGACTGCCTCAGAAGGGTTTGGCTTAGGGATATTGAGGGCTGAGGGCGGTTGAGGGATGCTTGGGGCTCCCCACAGCCCTTTGAGCCCACGAAACACGAGCGCGCCGCTCTGCGCCGCCCCTTTCGGAAGCTGCCAGCTCGACTTGTTGCGGATTCTCTGCTTTGTTGTGGCCTGAGCACCCCACCCCCAACTATGGAAGGATTCCCCAGTTGCCCTTGCCATGTTGAGAAGGGCAGCTGAAGGAGACTTCAGCTCAGGTGCGAATGTTCCCATCGCTGGTGAACTGCTGCACGATTGATTGGTCTTGGCCTCAGTCTTTCAGCTCCTGTGCACGGGTGGCCTCACTGCCAAGCCGCCCCGGGCAGGCGCTATCAAAAAAGAGGACGGCCCCAACCCCACCCCATGAGCCGGCTAGGCGTATGGCCAACCGGCCGTGCGAATCAAGCTACCCCTTGCACTGACAGATTTTCACCTATCGAGGTTCCATGAGTGGCCAGATGCAGCTCTGCAAAGCGTGGCGGACTCATTCCGGGAACCAGATTTGGACGTGAATAGTTTGTTGTTTCCCCTACCCCTGCCAAATTGCAGAACCCCGGCGCTTAGCATGTCGGATGCAGGGTCTCAGGTCAGGTCGCCCACGCGGACCTTGCAGCAGTTTATTTAACCTTGAGCAGTTTGCTAGTTGTGTTTGGCTCCCGCTCCTGGCTCCAGTGGATCTCCCCACCACTTTTTAGTGGTTGTCAAAGACTTCGGGATTCCATTGCAGGGTTTAGGTCGACGCACGTGCCGGGCATCATGAGCATCACCTGCAAGATCTTTCAAGATGGGCCCTGATGCTTGCCCCAAAACGACCGGAATTCTTTGTGGATTAAGCCGCGGCAGGCGCCAAAATTGAGTAGCCTTGTAGGGTTTCCTGGGAGGGAGCTTGTGTAGCCATCGTGTAACCTGAAAACCTAAGACTACTCACGCCCGAGGCAGGGCATGCCCATTGCGTAGTGCTCATGGAAGAAGCCGTCCACGAAGTGAGGAGATCTGGGACCACTACATCCCTTTGTTTCAGGTAGGAACGAAACAAAAGCCGGTTGATGATCCTGCTGTTTGGTGGAAATCCTCATCCATGCTGTTTCGGTTTGGGTATAGACGTAGTAGAGTCTTAGAGCAGCCCTGGTTTGTCTGAGGTGGCGAACCACTTCCTGGCAAAAACGGGCATGCCAGATGATGTCCTGAAAGGCCTTCTCTTGCTTGATGGACTGGGCCCTGTTGCATGAAGGTGGGGGCTGCCTCTGCTGGAATAGACTCCGACTCTGTGAAGACCGCGTGCTCTGAAGTCCGTTCAGAAGTTCCCACGATCCAGAAAACGCCCCTCTTTTGCATTTCTTGGGCATTTCGCGGATGTTGCAGACCCGTCGGCCCTTCTTACGTCTTGCGAAAGTGTATGACAGCTCGTTGTTCAACGAGAGCAGCTACGAAAATAAGTTCCATGTTTGTTGGTTGCATTCTGATCTTCCCTTCTGACTTTGGTCCCTGTCCCTGGAGAGTCCGCTGCGTGCAGAAATGTGAATGTCGAACAACCGCGGCAACGATGCATCGCGGCTCCAAACTTAAACCGCCGTCGTTGTGATCAGGGCGCGTTGGGCCTGTTGGGGCCGGACGTCCTGAGACTACAGCCGTGTTTATCAGTTTTTAGAGGGTTCTATGCCAAGACCCGTGGAAGGTGTGGTGAACATCTGTGTTGCGATGCAGAAGAGTGCCCACACCTCAGTGCTGACTCCACACAGTTACAGCCCCGCAGCATGAGGATGCAGAAAGCCCTCAACCCCATAGCCAGGTTGTTGCCCAGTGTATGCTTCGTAGTAGTAGGCTGCTGGCTTATCGCCCTGGGCCTGCAGTAGCCTTCCCTGCCGCAGCGTTGAAGATTGCCGAGCCCACATTCCACATTGTCGCATGGCTCTTTGTGAGTTCCTGGTGGCTAACTAGCTTTGGTCCGAATGGACTGATGGTTTGCTCGTTTGGGTCAGTTGAGCTCAGGGAGGTCGTAAACAGGCTCACGCAAAGGTACTTTGGGGGATGCTGATGTGCGGCACGCATTTGTTTGTATCGTTTCATGTCGAAGGTGAGTAGTCTGACTGCAAAGACCGAAGTCGACAGTCATGCATCGACCATCACCCTAAAACCGCAGCAACCGATATCTAAAGAAGAAAGATGTCGGTTGACAAGCGATAAGCCTGACCCTCACGGCCCGAACGACCCAACGGTACACCGTGAGTGCCCCTCGACCGCGAGCCCGTACGCTTTGGAGAGCAGGGTGTACAGGGTTAAGGGCACCTCCTCTTGAAAGGTCTTCACTCTGGCAGAGCGTTTCCAGAAGGAGGTGCAGCGCTACTACTATGCTGTGGCCTCATCCGTTGAATCTTAATCCTGCTGCCCATGGCTTAACGGTGTTGGGGCCTTTGGGACTTAAGGTCATCATTTGGGGCGATCAGGTCCTGCGAGTTGGGTAGCAGGTCACTGGGTGCGGAAGGATGCTCAAGCAACATCATTCACGGTTCGGCGGGGGCTGGGTGTGTCAGGGCTTGATTCGCTCCAGCACGTACAACACTGATGTGCAGTTCAACGGCAAATGATTCTTTTCAGGAGACAGCATATGCAAAGAGGAACATCAAGATGCTTCACAGTCGTGAAATGCCCAGGTACCGCGAACGGCGAGGCAATAAATGTGCACGGTACGTCCTAAGCCTCACCGCTCAGCTTTCGCACGCTAGTGCCCAGCAAAGCAACTTCATTCTCAGGTTACTCCGACGTCGTACCTTGAGCTGATCAACGCCTTCAAAGGCAAATGTGAATTTACATTATATAGATATATTATATTATTGTTGTTATTATTATCATATTATGTGGGCGAAGCTAAGACGCCCAGAGCCACTTGGAGTCCACTGAGAGAAGGTCGGAAGGTCGGCGTAGGAATGAGCCCTGAACTATTCTGCCCTGAAGAAGACACATCCGAGTTTGTTTATAGTCTTGCCATCCCTGACCCCCTGACCAAACTCTATAGGAGCCTTGACTTCCAACAGGCCTCCTCGCCAGCAAGCAGGATGAGGTCTCCAAGGTGAAGTCCAGGCACATCAGATCGATGCGGTGGTTCGGTTTGTACGGCTTCACTTGGGCTTCGTGCATTGTTGGACCCCCAAGCGTGTGGCTGGGATTACGGCAGGTGTTGTGATCCCTACCTCTGTGCACCCTGGTATTGTGGAGTTCGCAGTCTAGAGGGTTACGGTTGATCTGCATCCTCAAAGTACTGTACCCAGAAAAATGGCCAATTCGGGAGGGGCACAGGGCTTGCGACTTTCCAAGCTGCCAGCAGACATATGTTACACATATATACACATACATACATACGCCAGGCTATTTCCGTAGATGTAGTCGATGTCGACATCTCATAAGGAAGCAGGGGGTGTAAGGGAGGGAAGGTAAGGGCCCAGGTTCCCCAAGTCAACCCTGAATACGCCCAAGTGCTCCGTGAACGAGCCTTAGTCGAGGAATGGTGCGCAAAGGCCCCTATGCTGTTTCCTTGTGAATGTCGACACTCTCCTGGACAGCTGGTCGTAATGACATTCATCACGGTGTTGGAAAAACTTGAGCCCAACTCCACACTTTCAAACCCTATGGCATCTTCTTTTGCTCGGCTTCGCCACTCATACGGGCATGGGCAGCGACCATATTGTCGGATCTCTGGTTTGTTCTCCAGGTATGATGTCGGCCTGGACAAGATCATGTCCACTGAGGAGCAGGTCACCACGATGCAGGCACGAGACTCAGCGTGTTTCCTGGGCCACATGGCTGTTTAGGGGGCTGTTTAGGGCGGTCAGCCTGAGTCAGCCTGTCAGGGGGCATCATGAACTTCTGAGCTCAAACCGTCATGAGTCGCTCACCCTTTGCATGCCGAACATCCTCTCTCTGCTTCTCAAGCACTACGCGCAAAACCCTCAAAACGCCATAAGCTGTGCACTATAACCCATAAGAGCCATTTAGAAGCCCCTGAATCCCGAAGATTGTCATGGCCTTCCTTCTGCCACAGGCTGAGCTCGAGGAGCTGAAGCCCACGCTGAAGAAGACAGCCGAAGATACAGTGCGCCCCATTGCGCTTTGCCTTTTTTTGTGTCTCTGCTTTTTGACCGTTTATTCGGGCTTCCGCAACCCTTGATGTCTGAACCCTCATGCTTTACAGATGTGCCTGCTGGCATGCCCTCTCCATGGCACACTTAAGTCAATCTCGGTTGCTAGGTGTTGCACTGCGGTTTTCTTGAGCTGAGACAGCTCGATCTCAGCATGCATCGTCTTGCATTAGAGTTTTGGTATGTGGATCAGGGAGGTTCGGCGAGTCATCACGAGGTTCCCCTGGCGACACAGGGTCTCAGGTTGTCTAATGCCGCCGAAGCCATGGGAAGCTGCTGGCCGGTTGCAGTGTGCAGCCTCTGTCCTGGCTCCTTGAATGCCGCCGTGCCTCCAGCTGAGTGAATTCCCCAAACGGCCAAAAGTGTTACACCAAGACTCCCCTTCTCAACTATAGTGGAACGGAGATAGTGATGGGCCACTTTGGCTGCGCAGCCTTGCTGCAAAGGACTAAAGGCTGCGCATGGCTGCACTGCTGAGATTCTTCTCACCATGCTGGGACCCAAAGCATCTGGGCTCGACTCCCCTTAATTAGGCTTTGTCCTTCCTCTGTCGTCCAGAGAGCCTGCCATGACCCAGTTCCCCGAGCATGAGCCCGTGCCATACATCCTCGAAAGAGCCCGGATGCAAGTCGAAGCGTGGTGGCCTCCATGCCAGCCCATAGTTTCGGTGCCGACTGTGTTGTCCACACAGCCGCAGGTATCGAACGGCTTCATGGATCAGTACGCTGCACCCTTTCCGGAGTCGCCCCCGGTCATCATGATGCCGAGCCCAACATACCCAGCCCAGGCAGGCTGTCCCGTCAATGTTGCAACAAGCTCAAGTCTGCCTTCGGCCGCAACAGCAAAGCAACCACTCCTCTTGGAACCCTGTCTGCAGCTGAACCCGGCTCCCAGTTTGGACAAGCCTGCGCGGAAGCCTAAAGAGCCGGACCAGCCATCCAGCTCCGGAGAACACCCTCCAGGGCATGCTGTTTCAGGTGTCGCTGAGGTCTTAGCGCCCGGCCTGGTTTCAAAGAGCCACGCCGGACGGAGGGGAAGCAGAGCGAGGCAGGAGGAAGCCTTGAAGCATTCGCCAGAGGGCCTTTCCAGTGGCCCTTCCGGCGCGCGGAATGTGGAGAATGTGCTGAGCCTCCTTCGGGATAAGACCACCGTCATGCTACGCAACATCCCCAATCGATACACCTGCGAGGAGCTGTTGGGTGAGATCATGGCAGAAGGGTTTAGCAACATGTTTGATTTCTTCTACCTACCCATGGACTTCAAGACCAAGCGAAACCGCGGCTATGCCTTCATCAACTTCCACTCCACGCAGGTGGCGAGTGAGTTCGCAATGGCCTTCCACCATCGGCAGCTCAGATTCTACATGTCAAGGAAAATCTTGGAGGTGGCTCCTGCGACGACGCAGGGCTATCAGGCCAACCTGTCTAAGTACATCAATAACGACTCCGACCGCATCAAGAACGACTGGTTCAAGCCCTTGCTCTTCACTCAAGAAGCCTTCGAACTAGACTGAGATGACCCATTTGCACTCAAGTAATTGCAGTCAAGGCTTATGGCTTGTATGACACACTGCACAAGGCTTATAAGATAAGCAGTTGATTTCAGCAAGCCAATGTCTTTAGAAAGCAGAGTAAGGCAGGTTCTCGACTGCTTAGAGGGCCTAGAGCGGTGCGGACGAGGTACAGCAGCCCAGAGCAATGCAAGACAATTAGGGCCGAATTCAGATGAATGTGTTCCCATGCCAGCTGCAGTCCAACAGCGTAGGTGCCCAAATGTACAGCGAAGTTTTCTCATTGTTTGGCACGAGGAAAGGTGTAGTTGTGAAGTTGCCTGCAGCCACGCGTCTTCTAATGCAAGTTTTGAGCGTCCGCTCCTGCCTCGGAAGTGTTTCCTGCAGTGACCTCACGAGACAGCTGACGTGAGAGCCGCTAGAGCGCCTGCTATCTCAAAGTCAGTAGGCATGTCGCTCCGGCAAGCAGCAGTTTCTTTGAGACAGGACACGCTTTCAAGCCTCGCAGCATACATTTTCGCTTTGGACAACGCGCCGGCGCCGTCATGCTGCGGGCCAAAGTTTGCTTTCAAGTTGTATACCGGCTACTTTCACTACGACACTCAAGCCTGGAAAAAACTGGACCTCACGTTGAGTTCTTTGCGGAAAAACTGGGCTTGAACGTTTGGCGACCCAACTCATGGTCACGGTATGTCACGGTCAAGGTGCCAGAACAGCTAGGAGCGAGAGCAGTATACCACTGTAGCTTATACACACCAGCGGGACAGACGCAGCAACACTGAGGCGGAGCGAAGGTGCCAGCGCGATGTACTGGAGGTCTGGCCGATCAGCAACGTCATCAGTGACATCGAACAGGCAGCGTGTTTGGGCTGTCTCTCATCTTCGTTGGCCATGGACGCTTGCTACGCCGCTTGGCTTGGAATTCCGTCAGCTTGCGTGTTTGGAAGGATCTTGGTTAAGGGCAGCCCTTGTAGAAAATGGAACATAGTGTGGTCTCCATTCTGCGGACGAGGAGGTGTCAGGTACAACCACAACTAGCGCAGCGCCTTATTGCATTTTGGCTTGGTCTTGTCAGGACGGGTCTCGTTTGTGGAGCATCTCCGCAGCAACAACGACAAGAACGACACAGGAACAGCCTGCCCTGGAATCTGGGGTTGGAAAAAAGGTCAGCTGCTATGAGCCAGAGATCTCGAGAACCTTGGAACGGAACTCGGATCAAGCTTTCGAGCTCGAAAGTTTTCAAACTCTGTGAACTCGCAATCTCGAAACTCCGTCGGACTCCAAACTTTACAATTTTTTCAGTTTTTTGATTTTGTAAATCCGGGACACACAAAAGTTCCGAGATTGAGTTTGAGAGGATGCGCTCGAGCTCGGTACGTTGAAGGGTTTGGCAGTGTGAACGTTTGGAGTTTGAAAGCTGCTGGTACATTCGTGCATTCTCAAACTTTGAACTCGATATGTTCGAGCTTTCAAACTGTCGCACCCCGTCATCTCTCAAACTTTACGAGCTCGAATTTTGTCGAACTCTTAAACTCTCAACTTCGAAGGACGCATTCAGAGCTCCATTTATCCCAACCTTAGTACCAGAGGTCGTGGAACCAACCGAAGAGACCTGTTGCGGGGTTCTCGTCGAGTCCAGATTGGGGTGTCTGCTATTCTGGAGGTGTCTCGCACCGCCCTCAGCAGCAGTGGTCGGCATGTGACGTGCGGCAACAAATTGGAGATGATGGAGAGTTTAGGTTTTTGCTGTCACCCACTGGTCTGCTTGGTGAGCGTTTGAGATCGTGCGTGAGTCGGGCAGGGGTCGGCGTCGCAAGTTTGAATCCAAGCCCGTTCGAGTTTCGAAGCGCATTGTTAGAAAACTCTACGGGTTCAAATCAAAGTAGTCTGATGCCGGTTCGAGTTTGCAAGTTCGAGACTTTGAAACAGCACGAGTGCGAAAGTTTGACCACTCCGAGTTTGAGAGTTTCTGGCGCTTGAATGTTTGGAGTCCGGGAGTTCGAGAGGCAGAACTTTTGAAAGCATGAAGTACACGGGCGGAAATGCCTCTTTCGCCCTTCGCATGTCTCCTCCGCACTGCGTCGCTTTCGTGAAGCCCTGAACTTCCCCTCCCCCCCTCCCGACATTTGAGAGCTTCCTGAGTTTAAATGTTTGGAGGCGAGAGGTTCAAACTTTGAAGGCGCTGCATGCACGCGCAGAAATGACTTTTTACGGCTAAATCAAAGTTTAGGGAGTTTAGGGTTTATTGTTTCGGGTGTCTACATTCCAGACATGTCTTCTCTCTCCCTCGGCCGGAAGCCTGGCGAGTTAGCCTGACAGCCATAGACCCTTCTGCTGCCCCTGGTTCCTAGGCCCAAGCCTATCCTCGACGCCACGAATCCCGCACCCTAATAGGACCCTCTAGTCCCCCAGATTCGAGGAGCTGCTGTGGAGCCATGGAGCTGGCGGCTCATGGATTTCCAACCGAAGGCTTCCCGTCTGGGACCAAAAGACATGAGGTTACGGTTTGTAGGGTTTAGGGACTATAGGTTGGGTTCGGCCGGTCCACACTAACAGTCAAATAACGCCGTGGCCTTGTAACACACAGGCCAAAAATAGCACCAGGAATCCCAGTGAATATTAGCATTTACCGGGTGCTGCTTTTTGTGGGTCTGCTTGTGGTGACTGCAAGTCACATAGCACCAGAAACAGCACCAGAAATAGCACCAGAAATAGCGCCAGAAACAGCACCAGAAATAGCACCAGAAATAGCACCAGAAACAGCACCAGAAATAGCACCAGGAATCCCAGTCAATTTTGGCAGCTTAGCATTTACCGGGTGCTATATCTTGTAGGTCTGCTGATGGTGATTGCTAGTCACACCAGAAACAGCACCAGAAATAACACCAGAATCAGCACCAAAAATAGCACCAGAAGTAGCACCAGAAACATCACCAGAAATAGCACCAGAAATGGCACCAGAAATAGCACCAGAAATAGCACCAGGAATAGCACCAGGAATAGCACCAGGATAGCACCAGGAATCTCAGTCAATTTTTGGCATTTCCCGGGTGCTTTTATTTGTGACTGTTAGTGTGGACCGGCCGAACCCAAACCATAGGGGTTTGGGATTATGGGGCGTAGGGTATTTGTAGTGTCTCTTCGAGACCTGGATGCAACAGGGTCTATAGTCCATTCATTGTCGCTTTTTTTTTTGGGGGGGGGGGGGGGGGTTCTGTTCTGAATGGGGCCTATGGGACCCGAAGCGTAAACCCCACAAAGGGAGCTGACCCGATGGCCCCTTCAATCTCCACAAAAGCCCCAACTAGCTATTGCTGCCGGCTCCGTTTCGAGCTTGTATAGGGTTTAGGGTTTAGGGTCACCCCTTCAAAAGCTACCGGCGTCAAAGTCAAAGGGTTGGGAATTGTTTCAGAGTTTATGTGCTGAGGTTCTTGGGGTCGAGTT